GCAGTTGTTGTGTTAAATAAAATGTCAGTCACAAGAGGATAAATATTTTATGATTTCTCTTATATGAGGTTTCTAGAGTAGTCAGATTCATAGGATGGAAAGTGGAGTGTGGTTGCCGGGGGCTGGAGAGAGGAGGTTAGAATGTTGAGTGAGTGTTTACTGAGCACAGAGATTCTCTGTGAGAAAGAAGCAGAAGTTCTGAAGGTGGATGTCATTGACAGTTGTGCCACAGTGTGAATGTGCTTAATCTTGTATAACTACATTTTAAACAGTTCAGTGGGAAAAAATTTTTATGTGTATTTTATATGTGGGTTTTTAATAAAGAAGCCTCCTAATTGTTTGTGCTTAAAGCCAGAGTGAATGAGGTCTTCAGAAGAGTGAGTGTAGAAAAGGGGTGCAAGGTTGGAGTCCAGGGTCACTCCAGTGTCAGGAGGTGGAGACTCGGGGCAGAAACAGCAAATGATACCGAGGAGTAGCAACCCGGGAGAAAGGAGGAGTGCCAGGACAGTGTGGCAGTCTGACCTTCCTAGGTTAAATCAGCAGAAATTCAGAAGGATTTGGAAAAACACGTGACAATGACGTATGTATTTTGTGGTGTCTTCTAGAAGGAAGATCTGGATATTGTGTGTGAGAGGTTCACTACAAGTAAGCTGCAGTCCTTTGAGGATTTAGCCAGCATCTCTACCTACGGCTTTCGGGGCGAGGTAAGCTGAGGACCAGAGGAATGTGTGAAATGCCTCTCGTGGTGACATTGCTTGCCACCTGTATTTCTCAACAGAGGTAAATAAGATCAGGTACTTTGTCTTGTGAGATACCTATAAAACTGAATAAATTTACTGAATGCTACCTCTCAAGGTTAGGAAATGTTTAGAAACACTTAAAACATCATAAAGTGTTCTGTTTACAGAGAACCCAGGTGTTGCACATCTCATGGTAAGGAGCCCAACACCACCTTCCATACATGAAGAAGCCAGTGTGACTCCTGTCAGTACTTAGAGCTCAGTACCAATCCACGGGGAATACTGGGCACAGATGATCATGGTTTGTGATGTTGAAGTTAGGAAACTGGATGTCAAAGGCTTGTTTCCTGAGCAGGTAAACCAAGGGAAAAGAGCGAGGAAGGGAACAACAAGCTGTAGATGAAGAGATTCAAGAGGCGTGTGAACCAGCTCAGTAGACATCTTACCTAGACCCTTGTTTGAGTAAACTGTAAAAAGATTTTTGGAGGTGGATATGTGAACACAGATGGGCTGTTGGATGACTTTAAGGAGAAAATTATTATTAATTTTCTTGGTATAAAAATGTGTGGTTGTTGTGAGTCCTTTAAAGACACACACTGAAATATTTATGAGTGAAATTATATATCATAGAAATATATGGTATAGAAAATAGATCAGAATGTTTTTAAGACTAAAATGAGACCTTACATTTATGGAATCTTTACATTAATAAAATAGGCCTATATCGTGTTTAATGGCTGCATATTTTCTATTACACAGTTTGTTTAAGTGATTTCCTTTTTTTTTCAACACAATATTTTGTTAAGTGAGAAGTCTCCTGCCGTGGTAGTCAGGAAGGGCTGCAGGGGAGAATGCCCCAGTGACTTCCTGTTCAATATTTATGCTCATCGCCCTTTTTCTATTTAAGACTCTGGTAAATATTACTTTTTTTTTTCATTAATTTATTTATTTGAAAGGCAGAGTTGCAGAGAGGCAGAGGTAGAGATAGAGGGAGAGAAAGAGGTCTTCCATTTGCTGGTTCACTCCCCAAATGGCCACAACAGCCGGAGCTGAACCGATCTGAAGCCAGGAGCCGGGAGCTTCTTCCAGGTCTCCCACACGGGTACAAGGGCCCAAGAACTTGGGCCATCTTCTACTGCTTTCCCAGGCCATATCAGAGAGCTGGATTGGAAGTGGAGCAGCTGGGACTTGAACCGGTGCCCATATGGGATGCCTGCACTGCAGGCAGTGGCTTTACCCACTATGCCACAGCGCTGGCCCCTGATGAATATTTCTTATACATAATACTGGGGTTTTTTTGTTTGTTTGTTTCCTTGGATAAATTTATAAAAATAACATTCCTAGGTAAAACATGCATATTTTTATAATCGTTTATTGCCCCCACCCCATGGCCACAAACTTTGTGGCATTTTGAAATAACACAATTAAATTAAAACAACTCACTGTCTAAGAGGTCCAGAGGTTGGAAGACATGGATTGACTACAGCCATGTTTTTGGCAAGACTGTGTTCCTCTCTGGAGGCTCCGGGGGACCAGAGAAACTGCTCCAAGTTGTTGTGGGGGAGTGAGGTGAGGATGCTGGAGGGAAAGGAGCCTGTGACTTTCATCATGAGTCACTTGGAGACTGCAACTCCCTGGTCTTCGCAGGTCTAGGGCCTCCCGGAACGTGAGCCTGCTGGGCATCTGTGGCGTTATAATTTCACCGTAGTTAACTAAACACAGGCAAGATTTCTCGGAGGATTCCTCCGTGCCCTCCGTGGTTCTTAGCACTTTGTGTGCACACTTCTGATAGTAATCCTGCAAGTGAGTTCTGTTGGCACCCTGTTTTACATAAGGGAACTGACGCCGAGACGCTAAGAAATGTGGTCAGGGCACAGAGCTAGGCAGTGGCACAGTAGGAATTGAACTCAGGCAGTTTATCCTGAGCCTGTGCTGCTCTCCACTTGGCCCCCTGCCAGTGAGAGGGCCGTGAAGCAGCTCGAGCATCGCCGTGCCTTGTGGCTCGCTCTCCTCGTGGTGTGACGTTCTGTGCTGCTGTGTATATTTAATGCCCTTCCTTATACAGATCACAAATCTTTCACATTCGCAGTTTTTAATGAGGGAAATTAGCTCAGTCACATGATCCTGAGAGATCCAGTAACAATCTGGCCAACTCGGAACCTGAATTATGTTCCTGTAGATGAACAAACCAGCCACAGCTGCCTTACTGTCTACTGAGATGCTGTCACATGGATCTCATTACATCTTTACCTACTATGATATTCTTGTGAAAAGGGAAAAAGCCGGAAGGGCCAGGAAACCAGTCTTGGTTATGTGTGGAAAAAATGATCATAGGTTTTAAAAATTTGATTTGTCTTAACTGCATATTTTTCAGTTTACATTTCTTAACATACAATTGCTTATATAAAACAATTTTAAGTAATAATATACAACATTATCTATTTGAAGTAATCCCATTACCCCTTTCTGAAGGCAAGTTTTAAGTTAACTAAAAGACTTACCATTGAAAATATTATTAAAGGTGCCTATAGTTCTGCCACCTGAACACAATTGCCCTTTACACATTCAAGCTTTTGGTATACAGTTTCCTTTTGTTCTAGATATCCTTTTGTGACAGATCTGTAATATCTTTGTTTTTAACATGTATCAAAGTGAGTGAACAAGGAAGGTGGGATTTAGATAACTTTTTCTTTTGGCAGCAGGGGGTGACCCAGCCCTGAGATTTTCTTTCAGTCACTTTCCTTTTCTTCTTTAGGCTTTGGCCAGCATAAGCCACGTGGCTCATGTTACTATTACCACCAAGACCAGTGATGGAAAGTGTGCATACAGGTATCGTGCTGACTTCTTTTACTCTGTGTATTTATCCTGAAATGTACTTTTTTTGCCTGCATCTCAGAGTAATCCTACCTAAATTCTAGTACTGTCTTTTTTTTTTGACTGGTCTCTTGGGTACGTCTTCTCTCCTCCCTGTGGATAAATTGATAATCCACAGACATGATTCTTAGGTGATACTCTTAATTCATGGGTTGTTAAAAGATATGCTGCATCATACTACAGTTGACTAGAAGGTGTCTTTCCCACAGATATCCCAAGCAAATAGTAGCTGCTGATGTTATTTCTGCCCCTCGTCCTTGGGTACTGCTTTGAGCTGCATCCAGGGCTGTGGCTGGCATGCCAGAGACTCTCAGTTCTTCCACCAGATCCTGAGCCAGCAACTCCCTGCCATCCTGGTACTGGCTCACTTTCCACAGGTGACTGCTGGCTCTTTGCCAGAAGATCGCATCTTTGATTTTATGAGTCCTGGCCGTTGCCTAGTCGAAGACAGTAAGAGTGTGTAATTCATGCCAAAAGAGATTGTAAACGTACAGATCATTTGTAAGTTAAAATGGAGCATGGCTTCTAGACAAATGTGATGGAAGGTGGAACATTTCAGGATAAGCAGTACTTAAGAGTTGCCTGTGTACATTATGATTGCCTTAGGCTCTGAGTGGGTGGCTGTGACTAGAATCCCCTCTTCCAAAGCGGTCCTCTGGGTCATGTTGGGCCCCTGTCCCACCCCTGGTGGCTCTCCTTCCATGGCGGATGAAATCCAGACTCCATGCCTTCCCACCTGCTGTCAGTCCACCAGGCAGCCTCTTCCGAGCTGCCATGTGTTCTAAGGCGTTCATGATTTCTGTTATGTTTTCCTGTCTTAGGTGGTCTTTCCTTCTGTTTCCACCTGAAACTGTTCCTCCATAAAGCCCAGCTGGATCATCAGATCCCTGTGGTTATTCCACCACCCTCACTCGCACCCCAGGCTCATGGTTCCTTCTCTAGATCACGTAGCATGTTGTTCTGCAGTTAGGTAAAAGAGTCGCTTCGCTGAACCAAAGCTTTCCAAGAGGGCCTCCGTGGTAGCTCCTCAGTGAACCTTTGCAGACGTACTGGAGAGTCTCATTGTCTTAGTTCTGAACTCAGCGCTGAAAAGCAGCTTTGGCCACAACAGATTTTCGTAAAATCCAGCTAGAATGAGTATGGAAGAGTCGAAAATGAAACTAAGAAATGAGGACATACTTGGCGCGTCTGTTTCAGTCCATTGTTGGCGTGGTTTTCTCTTTCGCCCTCCGGGTAATAAGCGTCTCTGTTGCTCCTGGGTGCTAACAATCTCTCACATTTTCCGGATAGAGCGAGTTACTCAGATGGAAAGCTGAAAGCTCCTCCTAAGCCATGTGCCGGCAATCAGGGGACGCAGATCACGGTAAGAAGGGTCCGCAGCGCTGTGACTTGTTAGCATGGAGCTTCGTGCAAATCTTGCCATAAAAATAAAGTCATCTCTGAGTCTGCAGAGTAAGAATGAAATCCATTTTTACTTGTTGGTAGAAGTGCCAAGATCCCACCCTCCATGCAGAAGAACTGACTTTCCGCTTTGGTGGCACAGCAGCCTACCCACCCCCTGTTATCTTTTTTAAGCGTCCTGAGAAGTTATCAGGATGACAGAAATCAGGGAAGAGCACTTGGCATTGGAAATGGAGAGAGCATTAAGCTTGGCTTCAGAAGCCGTGGGTTCCAGCCTTTTCACACATGGTGTGTATCTAGGCGCAAGTCTCTTAACATCACTAACCCTCAGTTTTCTTGTCTGTCAGATGGAGCAAAGAACATATGTCCAGCTTCCACCAAAGGTGGTGAGCCATCATGCTGTGTCAGTTGGCAGCAGCAGGTCCATCCTGCTGCCTTCTTTCTGTAATGCCTCCATTGGTCTCTTTCCACCATTTGTTCCCACAAAGCACCCTGTGGTCATGTGCATCGCACCTCTCCACCCCATCCCCAGCTGTAGCTCGGCTCCTTACATTTTTTTTTTTTTTAAGATTGATTTATTTATTTGAAATGCAGCGTTAGGAGAGACAAAGAGAGAAAGAGATCTTCCATCTGCTGTTCACTCCCCAAATGGCCACAAGAGCCAGGGCTGGGCAAGGCTGAAGCCAGGAGCCAGGAGCTTCTTCCACATGGGTAGTAGGGTCCCAACCACTGAGACCATCCTCTGCTACTTTCCCAGGTGCATTCGCTGGGGGCTGGATCAGAAGTGGAGTAGCTGGGACTTGAACTGGTGCCGCAGGCCATGGCTTTAATGCATGTGCCTCAGCACCAGCCTGGAGATCAGCTCCTTGAAGGCTGCTCTAACCCGTCTGATCCCCAGGTATGAGGAGGCAGAGTGAATGTGTGCTCGTGGTGCATGTTAAAGAGGGATCTTGTACTGACGTTACACAGTATGACTTCTGGAACACTAAATGAACCCTGAGCAATTACATGATTATTCCTGGTTTGAGGAATAGCTTTGAATTGCATGTGCTATTAAAATTGTAAACTTACACATCCCTCACTGAATTTTATGTTCTCCTGAGCAGGGCTGTGTGTGTTTGTGTTCATATTCTCAGCACTGCGCAAAGTGTCTGACCTGGCATAGCCAGTTTGTATTTGAGATAACAGTAATGTAGGAGGCAGGAAAGAATATCCTTCAGTCCTTAGCTAATGCTGGCCTGTCCCTACCCCCTCACCCAATAAGTGTTTAGAAATATGCTGTTTGTGGAGGTAGGAGGCGGCATTGTAGCATAACGGGTCAAGCTGCCACCTGCAGTGCCAGCATCCCATACGAGTACTGGTTCGAGACCTGGCTGCTCTACTTCCAATCCAGTTCTCTGCTGTGGCCTGGGAAAGCAAGAGGAGATGATCCAAGTGCTGGGGCCCCTGCACCCATGTGGGAGACTCAGAAGAAGCTCCTGACTCCTGGCTTCGGATCAGCACAGCTTCGGCTGTTGTAGCCACTTGGGGAGTGAACCAGCTGATGAAAGAGCACTTGCTCGCTCTTGCTCTCTCCCTCTGCCTATCTGTAACTCTATCTTTCAAATAAATAAATAAATAAAAGGAGAAGAAGAAGAAGTGTGCTGTTGGTAAGTCCGGTGCTGTGGTGTGGCAGGTAAAACCACCACTTGCAATACTGGTCTCCCATCTGTGCACTAGAGTTAAAGTCCCAGCTGCTCCACTTCCAATCCAGCTCCCTGCCAATAGCCTGAGAAAAGCAGTGGAGTAGGACCCACGTACTTGGGCCCCTGCACCCATGTGGGAGACTCAGATGAAGCTCCTGGCTCCTGGCTTTGGCCTGGCTCAGCCCTGGCTGTTGCAGCTACTTGGGGAGTGAACCAGCGGATATACAATCTCTGTCTCTCAAACTCTGACTTTGAAATAAATGAATCTCTAAAAGGAGAAGTTTACTGTTGGTAGATATAATAATAATAATTATTATTATTATTATTAACACCCAGCTGTAATTGGACAGCTGGAGCCTTCATTTCTGTGCACTTGTATGAATTTACAACAAAAATCAATCTTCTGTTCAGGTGGAGGACCTTTTTTACAACATAGCCACAAGGAGGAAAGCTTTAAAAAATCCAAGCGAAGAGTATGGGAAGATTTTGGAAGTTGTTGGCAGGTATAGTCCAAAACCTGGGAGTGGTCTGTGAGATCTGTCGCCAAAGGAAAGCGTCCCAGTGCTTGCAGGCTGAGCTGGATGGCGAGCAGCAAAACGGGCCTCCAGATTGTTTCTGTCAAGGCCTGTCATCACCCATCTCCCCAGGAAAGGGCACCTGGGCTCCATGTCAGGGAAGGGCCTTTGGGGGTAAGCAAAATGAGCTCAGCTGAGCTGAAAAGAAATTTATTGGAAGGCTGGTGTTTGTTCACCAAGGAGAAAGAGGTGTGCACCAAATAGAATGGGGTAGAACAGAATGGGGTAGAACAGAATGGGTAGAATAGAATGGGATGCTTTTCCAAGGAAGCTCAGAGGCATTACCAGAAAGAGAAGGGGTTCAGGGCAGGTGAAAATACCTTTGTGCTCATGGTGGACTTAATCCACTGAGGCGAAGACCTCCAGCATGTGGTCTTTCAGCCCACATGTCTGAATTGTAATGTTTTTCAGTGTTTCTTAAAAATCTAAAATGAATCAAATATTTGCCTATAATAAAAATGGCACAGGCTTGTATATTGAATTCTTTTGTTTTTCCCCTGGAAATATGTAAATCAGTGTTGAGAAATTCATTATCTACTGAAAACAAAGGAGTTCTGATTGGCTGTTTTGGTTCTAGGTGTGGTGCAGAGTGTTCCTTAATAAATGCGTTTCGCTAGACACAAGCCTTCAGTCATAGGGTCTGTGCGGGGAGGAATAATATATAATGGCCAACCAAGAAAAAGCTGAACAATACCAGACCAGGCCCCTATGGGAGAAGCAGCTGGTGAGGAAGTGTCCAGATTGGTAAAGCTAGGTTCTCAAAATACCCTGTGGGGACCCACATCTTTTGACATTGTAAAAACAAAACTGCAGATGAAAAAATGTGAGAAATCCTGCAGTCTGGTCCACAGTGAGTCAGAGCAGAGAAGAGCCCTGCATTTGGTTGGGCTCAGTGACACTTACTGATATCCGACTGAAGTCTCTGCTGGCTTATTTTCCTGTGGGTAAAATACGATGTATGGAGATAGTTTTGTTTATGTTTAACTTGGTTAGATTGCCCAGCTCCAATTTATTTAGGCCTCACAGGGGCTCTGTTACCTGTTGTGCGTTTGGCCTCTCTGGTTACTCCCTTCTTTTACTTTTTTTTCCTCCCTAGGTATTCAATACACAATTCAGGCATTAGTTTTTCGGTTAAAAAAGTAAGTTCTTTATTTACGGGGATGGTTTGCTTTATGAAAAAATAAGTGGGATTTTTAATGATTTGTCTCTGGAGATAAGGTTATTCTGTTTCCCTCACAGCTGGGAGAGAGTCAGTGATTGTATCTTCTGCTTGTGTTTATCAGCAAGGAGAGACCGTGGCTGATGTCCGAACGTTACCTGGCGCCACAACTGTGGACAATATTCGCTCCATCTTTGGAAACGCTGTTAGTCGGTATGGTGATAACCTGTGTATAAAACAGTCTTTCGCACTCCTTGTCTTAGCTTATCATCAACGCAGTTTTAGAATCTTCAGAGCAGTACTTGCTTTAGTCAGATGCTCAGGCTTGCTTCCGTGCCTCGGATTTGTAATGGAGTCGCCGTTTCACGTAATCAGCAAGTCCTTGGGTGCGTGTTGTCTCCCCATTGGGTGCTGTGGCTGGGAGTGGTGTGTTCTCTCAGGGCCTTTGTCCTCGAGAGGTTTACAATGTAGTAGAACTCCATCGTCCTCCAGTGCCCTTTCTTGTTCTTATGTTTCCGTGCCCATCACTGACGGGTTTCCTTCTTATGAAACCTTTGTTAATTGCCTCCCACAGTCTAGGCTTTGTGCCAGAAGTTAGGAATGTAGAGATGGATAAAATATTTCCTGCCCTTAAAGACTAGATTTGCAAGTGTCACCAAATCTTTGCAGTCAGTAAAGCATTAGGAGGAGAAATTGCTTATGTTATGGATTCTTCACTCTGCTCCCACCTGCACGTAAAAACCAGCACTTCCATCACAGGTTCCCAGCTAAGTCTCAGAACTCCACAGATCCCAAAGGACCTTTGTCATAATCTGAGGAGAAAAATAGTGAGACCCTTCCAAATGCCAGGCGTGCACCAGGGCCTGGGTTACACAGGTGCGTGAGACAGCTCCTGACAGCTCCTGATTTTTTCTCCCACAAAATCTTAAGAGCAGCACATCATCCCAGAACTGAATTTCTTCTTTGAAGGACACATTTCGTTCTTTGAGTCAAACCGAGTTCCTAACTATGGAACAGCCAATTTGCTTTTGTTACCCTTTTTTCTAATCAAGTATTAATGAATGAATTTTCCACTGAGTTGTTTGAGAGGGAGGGAGGGAGCGCACTGCCCCTTCTGCTGCTTCTCTAAATGCCTGCTGTGGCTGCGAGTGGATCAAGGCTAAGCTGGGAGCTGGGAACTCAACCCAGGTCTTCTGTGTGGGCAGGGCCCGACTACTTGAGCCACTGTCACTGCCTCCCACGGTGCACATGAGCAGGGAGCCGGAGTCGGGAGCAGAGCCGTAGCTGGGTACGCGACCTGGTGTGAGATGTGGGCATTTCCACCCATTTCTTAAGCAGTATGCTAACCCATCACCTTGAATTAATTTTGTAATCATTGTACTCCTGAGTGAAGGGGGATCTCTGTTTTACAGTGTGACTTTCAAAAGCATGACTACATTTTAAGATTCAGATATAGTTGTTACAAAATTCCTAGGCACTGTAAGAGGTTAGAAATCCCTTGGGTTTCCAAAGCAGGTTTCCAGAGTACCAGTGTGTTGAGACATTGGGTGAAGAAAGGGTAACTGGTTAGTGTATGCAGAAAAGAGCGCAAGCCATCCCTTCCACCCAGAGACTCAGAGCGCATGTTACTACGTGGAAAGCCTCCACCATTCACGAAGTTTGCACAAGGGCAAACTCTTACTGCGTGCCTGCTGTGTTTTCTAGGGAAGATGCAGCGATGAATGGAATGGAGATGATTCTTAGAGGACATTCCAATAGGAAAGGGACATGAAATACCTGGGCCGCTCACTAGTGCATTATGTCAGGGCCTCAGAGGAAGAACACAGCACACGATGAAGAAATCTCGGGTCAGAGTGGGGACTGTTGGAGACGTCTCTGCAGAACATTCTTTGAGATGTGAGGGATAAAGAGGAATCCACCTGCTGCCACTAGGGTAGGAGTTGAGGGACCAGCACTTGGGAAGGCCTCAGGCAGAAATCAACGTATCCTGTGGACAGCACACTGGAGTGCTATTCATTACAGTACAGAATTCAGCAGACACGAGTTCTTCTTGGAGTCTTGACCTTTGAGATTTAGATTTTAAGAGACGTACAACTGAGCAAAATAGGGCCTCAGAGCTGGTACTCGTCATTATGTCCTAGCAGTTAGAGTGGTGTCTGACGTATCGCCAGGTGCTTGGAAACACTGACTGCGTAGGTGCATGAAGGCTGGACAGATGCGTGGTCAGGCCCAGAGGACCTCAGTGGAACCAGTCTTGGGGTCCTCATTTGGCACAGTTAGTTATGGTTATGGGAGGGAGCCTGGTGTTTTCCAATTCTGATTCTTTTATAATGTTTCAGTTTTCCACTGTTTCCAAAGCCTAAAAATTTCTCTTCCCAAACCAGAGAGCTGATAGAAGTTGGGTGTGAGGATCCAACCCTTGCTTTCAAAATGAATGGCTACATATCCAACGCGAACTACTCAGTGAAGAAGTGTATCTTCTTGCTGTTCATCAACCGTAAGTGAAAAAGAAGCACTTGAGGAAATCCATCTGCAGGGTGTTTTCTGGGACCCTGGAAGAATTCCAGAGCCACAGATGTGATTACATCCAGGGAAACCTCACGCCGGAGTTTGGTTTCATTAGGAAGCATTTATCATGGTTGTCCTAGGTCTGGCTCATGACTGACCGTCGCAGAGTCTGATTCTCACCTCTCAGAGGGGGCAGGGGAGAGCACATCGTGGGCCCCTGTGCGTCAGCCCCCCTTCCTCAACCTTCCGGCATGGGAGCCTGTGGGAGCCAGTCCTAAGCAGAGTTTTGCTCTGTGCTTAGATCAAGGGCACTGTTTGAAATTGCACTGTAAGACATAGAAAGAGAGATGCCTTGAGTGCAGGCTTTGTCATTAGACTAAAGAAATCAAATGCCAAGACCCTTGAGATTTTTGAGATTTATGATGCAAAGAGCAATTCTAGAAGTCAGAGAGGAAATTAAATGCATTTGGATTTTTCTCAAATTCCTTTCCAATTCTTATCTCAATTGATGTGTTGTTTATGTGGTTGTTATTTACTAAGTAAATACAATTTTGCATTCTGCTTCTCTTATCTTAGTTGTATATTTCATGTCCTGTTTATCTGAGAGGCAGAGAGAGAGAGCTCCTGTCTCACTTCCTCACAATGGCTCAGCTGGAACTGAAGCCTGGGGCTAGGAACGCAATCCACGTCTCCCACATGGGTGGCAGGAATCCAGTCACTTGAGCGATTGCTGCTGTCTCACAGAGTCCCTATCAGCAAGAGGCTAGAGTCAGGAAAAGAGTTGGGTATCAAACCCAGGTACCCTGAACAGGCTGTGGGCATCCTAACCAGTATCTTAAGTGCTAGGCCAAATGACCGCCGAACTCAAGGTTCTGATGGTGACAGCGCAGCAAATGCTCCCACACACAGTCTGACTCAGTCTTTCATCTTCTGTTGAGACACAAATACAGTTTTCCATGTCTTCAGTTCTCAATCATGTTTCTTTTTTTAAGATTTTTATTTATTTGAGAGGTAGAATTACAGACAGTGAGAGGGAGAGACAGAAAGGTCTTCCATCTGCTGGTTCACTCCCCAAATGACCTCAATGGCCAGAGCTGGACCAATCTGAAGCCAGGAGCCAGGAGCTTCTTCCAGGTCTCCCACGCGGGTGCAGGGCCCCAAGCACCTGGGCCATCTTCTGCTGCTTTCCCAGGCCATAGCGCAGAGCTGGATTGGAAGAGGAGCAGCTGAGACTCGAACCAGCACCCAAATGGGATGCTGGTGCCACAGACGGAGGATTACCCCACTGCATCACAGCACCAGCCCCCTTTTTAGATCATTTTTACCTTAAAGATCCTTTACCTTTATTGTTTAAAATCATTTCATAGCAGTTTTGTATTTTTTGTTTTGCTTGTTTGCTATTAGAAATAGTGTATTTCTGCCTTCCATTTATAGCAAAACCAGCATCAATGACTGGAACCATGCGTGTTTTATAGCTGCTGAACACAGCAGTGCAGACACAGCCATCAGCAGGGAGGAAAAGCCGGTCATTTTGTAGTCACATTGTCAGATTCAGTGTGGTGGCCGGGTTTTCCTACTCCATTAGGAGGGATTTAAACCTGGTTTGTTACACAGCATGTTCTAATCTAGACGCAGAAAATATTTTTCATTCGTTTTCTCCTGACTGTGGAGAATGACAGCTGTGTAGCAGCCATGTTGGCCGCAGGGTGTACTGACTGGCCTGTGTCCACTTTGCTGTGAGGCTGCTCACCATACAGTGTCTGCCTCCACACTGGCAAGCCTCGTCAGGATGCCGAGTGCCCAGCACCAGGGAGACGTCAGACTCTCCAGCCACCTAATTACGTGCACCCTGTTCAGGCTCACCCAGGTGATGAGCAAGGCGCGCCCCTCTGCAGAGCGGCTCCAGCCGTCCCTCAGTCGGGTGCCTGTGCCGCTGCTGTCTTGTGGTCAGGATGTGTGTGCAGACTATGGTGACGTGACTGTCGGGGCCAGGGATGCGCTGCACATTCAGTGACAGGATCACAGGCACTCTTGCTGGAGATGCCACAGGACCACAGATCACGAGGAAGTCGGCGGAGATCTAGGGAGAAAGGACAGCTATGTATCCTGAAAACAGATCTTCCTCTGCTTCTTTTTTATTTTAATTTTTTTCAAAGATTTATTTATGTATTTATTTGAAAAGTCAGAGTTACACAGAGAGAAGGAGATGCAGAGAGAGAGAGGTCTTCCATCCAGTGGTTCACTCCCCAATTAGCCGTAATGGCCAGAGCTGTGCCGATCTGAAGCCAGGAGCTTCTTCCAGGTCTCCCACACGGGTGCAGGGGCCCAAGAACTTGGGCCACCATCCTCTGCTGCTTTCCCAGACCACAGCAGAGAGCTGGATCGGGAATGCAGCATCTGGGACTTGAAACAGCGCCCACGTGGGATGCCAGCCCTGCATGCAGCGGCCTCATCCACTATGCCACAGAGTCGGCCCCGGTTTTTTTTTTTAGTTTTTAACAGGTTCGATATAGTTCATATGTACAGTTCTGAGAATATAATGATATTCCCTTTCTCTCTCCTGCCTCTACTTTTTCTCTCATTTCTTCCAGGATTTACTGTTTTCTACTTCTCCCAAGCTTGCCTTATTTCCTAAATGTCCTTGAACACACATTCAGACATTTGTACTGCGTGAAACTCCTAAACCCTCACTCTTCGCCTTCCCTGGTCAGTCTGGGTGTGCCACTGTTGGACCTCCCTGAGTGAGTTCACTGCTCCCTCTTCACAGTGTAGACCACCTGGGGCTGGGATCACTTTATTCACCAGCAGATGTGTCCCGCCCTTAGCACCTGTGATTGGTGGGTAGCCTGTGTGTATCTGCAGTGTGAAGAGTCTGAGAGCCAATGGCATACTTCCTACCTGGCCAGCAAGGGCCAAGCTCGCCCACCTGGTGACTGAGGGGAAGGGGAGTGTGGAGGCAGGATTTCTTGCCGTGGAATGTTTTCGTCACTTGGCCAAGAGGAGAGAGCTGAGATGCTGGGAAGTGGTGGCGGGTGGAGAGAGCCATTCTTCCTGGGGCTCTGAGGTGGATGGCACTCCAGAGGCGTTCTCCCTGGTGTGGTTTCATGGCTGGGACCTCACCCCTCAGACAGGTTGAGCGGGAAAGTCTCCTTTTATTTTTCAGATCGCCTGGTAGAATCGACCTCTTTGAAGAAAGCCATAGAAACAGTGTATGCAGCGTATTTGCCCAAAAACACACACCCGTTCCTGTACCTCAGGTAAGGCAGCACCAGGCCGCAGAAGGACAGGAGCTCTGTCAGCGGACTTTGAGAGAGGGGACTTTGATTCTCCCAGCCACCCTAGCGAGAGGATGTCCCCGTCCCTTCTCACGGAAAGGCACGGATTCCCTTCGTTCATCAGCCGAGCAGAAGCTCACAGAGCCTCCCGTGGGGCAGGCAGTGCGTCAGCCCTGTGACACTGACCGGCGTGTCCCGCCCTTCAGGAGGGGTGGACAGCTCCTGGGCCGCCTAGAGGCAGAGCTGTGCTCTGGAGACTCCAAGGCCGGTACAGGAAGCCAAAGCAGCTGCAGCTTTCCTTCCGTGAGAGACTTCTCTGGGGGTCCCTCCCTCCCTGGGCAGGTTCACTCAGGAAGTTAGCAGCCACGGTCGAGGAGTCAGACCAACCCCCAGTGCGTGCAGAATGCACGTGAGGTTCCCTGCCCCAGAGGGCTTCACGCGGCAGGGCCTGACTCCCGAGGGCTGCTTTTCCACCGCTCTCGCCCTGTGCTGGCTAGTCTGTCTCACAGCCTTAGTGCCGTCTGTACAGCGTGACAAAAGCTCACTTGTAGGAACAGGACCTGGTTTGTACTAAAATGTCCTGAGTCTGAAACCTTTGGCCTCTGATTGAGGTTGTATTAGAAACAAAGTTCCTTTCTCTTTCTTCCAGTTTTGATCAAAATGAGAACTGGTAAAATCATGGTTCAAGGTAGTTTTTGGATTAGACGTTTTCCCTTACTAGCAAATAAACTGGTGAAATTATCACTTTGATCCATCTCCATTAGCCAGGATCAAAACAGGAGATAGAAACCACACAACAATTTCAACAGGGAAAGTTTGATGAAAGAATTACCGTTGGGATTAGAGTAATAGGGGGTTGGACAGGAAGAGCTAAAGAGACAGCCGCAAGAGCAGGGAGCAGCCCTTACCCCTAGGGCTGAGAGAACGTCCCTTCACCACACTCACCCTCCACCCCAGGGCAGGCTGAGATGGGGCTGTCGTTGAAGAGAATGTGCTTCACGCGTGGTGGAGAGCTTGGTAAGGTGCTCCCTGGCCCCGCTCTGAAGGATTGCTGGAGAGAACTGCCTGCAAGGAGGGGCTGCCGTGCAAACGACCTGCAGATAGCTGACAAGGTGTGGGGGAACCTAGAACGGACCCCCTCCCTTCTCCCCTTCTCCCCTTCCCCGCTATCTCTCCTGCACTCCGATATGTTTTTCTTTTTATTTGACAGGCAGAGTTAGAGAGAGAGAGAGAAAGGTCTTCCTTCTGTTGGTTCACCCCCAAATGGTTGCCACGGCCAGCACACTGCGCCAATCCGAAGCCAGGAGCCAGGTGCTTCTTCCTGGTCTCCCATGCAGGTGCAGGGCCTAAGCCCCTGAGCCATCCTCCACTATCCTCCCAGGCCACAGCAGAGAGCTGGACTGGAAGAGGAGCACCCAGGACTAGAGCCGGCGCCCCTATGGGATGCCGGCACCGCAGGCGGAGGATTAACTAAGTGAGCCATGGCACCGGCCCCTCTCCGGCACTCTGTACTGACGGAGCTGCTTATTCCAGAGCTGCATTATCAGAGTCAACTGCAAGATGGCCTCAGAGCCCAGCAGTAGTAAGCTGATGGCTGGCACAGCTTCCCAACTAACTGTATTTTAATGGTAGAAAGTTCTCTCCTCCATGTACACTTGTTTGCTCCTCAGATAATACTGAGAAGCAGGCAGGGGCAGGTTCAGGATTACCTTACCTTTACAGATGAGGAAGGAGATGCAGAGATGTGAAGTGTCTTGCCTGAGGGCCTGTGGGTTCTAGAATGATGACAATGACAGCTGACATATGATAGATGTGCCAGGTACCTGCGAAGTGCTTCACATGAGTTGAGTCCCCACCGTAAACCTTTAAGATAGGTAATGCTCTTATCTCCACCTTGCAAATGAAGAAGCTAAGGCAAAAAGGGTGTCATAACTTGCACAACGCTACACAGTTCTTAAGTAGCAGAGGCAGTACTTGGACACAGTCGCTCAGACCGGATCTTGATGTTCGTGCCATTCGGCCTCCCCAAGTCTCCTAGCCACCACACACGCGGTGAGTAGATTGGCTCCCCTTCCCCTGCCGTCTGAGTTCATTATGCTGCATTTTTCCTGCCAGTTTGGAAATCAGCCCCCAGAATGTGGATGTCAACGTGCACCCTACAAAACACGAAGTTCACTTCCTGCACGAGGAGAGCATCCTGGCGCGGGTGCAGCAGCACATTGAGAGCAAGCTCCTGGGCTCCAACTCCTCCCGCATGTACTTCACCCAGGTGAGGGCACCTTGCACCAGCTGTTTGTCTCGTGCCTGTGCCCCGTCAGGCTTCACAGTCCAGATGTCTGCTGCTTACTTCTTTTAGCGACATTGCTTTTTTCTCTTGAAGATTTATTTATTTATTTTAAGGCAGAATTAAAGCAGGGAGAGAGATCTCCATCCACTTGTTCACTCCCCAAATAGCCACCATGGCTGCAGCTGGTCCAGGCCAAAGCCAGGAGCCACGAACTCCATCCAGGTCTCCCACGTAAGTGGCAGGGGCCCAATCAAGAAACTCCCTCATGCCCATTGGCAGTTAAACTTGCCTTCATCTCTCAAACCTACTGACCTGTTCTCTGTGCAGAGGATCAAATGTAATCCCTAAAATGATTATGGAACAAATTGGTAAGCTTACGGAATACACAAAATCACGTTTCTAAAAGCCAAGAGTTTCCTTTAGTATGACAGCATGGTGAAGGCGACCTCACCATCTGATACAGACGTACAGGTATTTTGCTCAGTATCCAAGTAAATCTTGGGTAGCACTAAGCACACCAACGCTGTAGGTTTGCCTTAACGGTAATTTCTAAGACCATACTGTGAAAGAACCTTGTGATCTGTAGAACAGTAGAATGGGGTTTTAAAGTGTAAATCAGAGCAGTTCACAACACTGTCTTAAGGTCCAGTGTGAAGATCACCAGTCTAGTCACTGCTGTGCTCTACACTTGACCTCCTGGGTGAACTAGCTTCAGTCATCTTTGCAGAGTATGAGAATCAAGGTCAAGGACTTGTTAACTGTCAGATAGGGCTGGTTGATAGAAAAACTATTTTAAATAATGGAATGGAATTCTGTGATAATGCCGGCATGCCAAAATTCACCCCTGCTGTCACCATGAAAGGGATAAAGAAACCAGAACTGTGTACAACATTCCTTAAAAGTGTCACCGGTTCATTCAAGCATCAGATCTTAGGTCCATCAGCATCTCAAACTGTCGAACCGAGCAGCGCGCTACAGGCGAAAGGCAAAATAAATAAAATTTTAAAAATGCTTAGATAAAGCTTTAAAAAAACAGTATGACAGATATGGGATTAGTGCTGTGGTGTAGCAGGTAAAGCTGCCGCCTGCAGTAATGGCATCCATATAGGCACAAGTTCAAGTCCTCGCTACTCAGCTTCTGAAACAGCTCTCTGCTACGGTCTGAGAAAGCAGTAGAGGATAGCCCAAGTCCTTGGGCTCCTGCACTCATGTGGTTGGCCCAGCTCTGGCCACTCCAGCCATCTTGTGAGTGAACCAGCAAATGGAAGACCTCCCTCTGCCTCTGCCTCTCTGTAACTCTACCTTTCAAAGAAATAAATCAGTCTTTAAAAAAAAAGGACAGATACCCATGGACTTGTTACCAAATTCCAACAACTGGAATCAACATTTTGCTGTATTTGTTTTATTTATTGGCTCCTACTTAGAAGTAGGAAAAGGAGTATTTTAGAATATATTGTAGACATTTCTTCCTTCTTCAATATGCTTCTTTAAAAAAAAAAAGATTTTATTTATTTATTTGAGAGGTAGAGTCACAGAGAGAGAGAGAGAAAGGTCCTCCATCCAGTGGTTCACTCCCCAAATGGCTGCAAAGGCCAGAGCTGTGCCGACCCGAAGCAAGAAGCCTGGAGCCGCCTCCTGGTCCCCAACTCGGGTGCAGAGGCCCAGGGACTCGAGCCATCCTTCACTGGTTTCCCAGGCCACAGCAGTGAGCTGGATCGGAAGAGGAACAGCTGGGACCAGAACCGGCACCCACATGGGATGCCGCCGCTGCAGGTGGAGGATTAACCCACTGTGCCACAGCACCGGCCTCTCAATATGCTTCTAAAATTTGTTTCTTTATATGCTCACAGTGTCACTTTAATAAAATTAGTAGTAATACTATTTTAGTATCCAATCCATATTCAAAAGTCCCAATTGTCCAAAAAAGTTTTAATAGTAACACTGTTCAAATCTATAGATATATATAAATCTGTATATATAGTCAAGTTCCAGGCATTATATTTGGTTAAGTCTTTTTGAAACTGAAAAAGTCACGTACCTCATAATCTCAGTATTATTTGCCCCATTGGCTTATTCTACAGGCTCCCTGTCGGTTGGCTGATTGCTTCTTAGAGTCAGGTAACTTAGTCTGAGCTTCCATTTTCCTAAGAACTGGAAATTAGATCTATTTGGAAAGAATTATGTTTTGTTTACAATTTTTATTTACCTCATTTTTGAGCCCTTGAGAGGAAGGAAATAGTTGAACCTGCTGAACCATGACTTTGCGCACTGCTGAAGACACCAGCAAAGCCAGAAACTGCCCTGCTGCCTTCAGGGGCATGGTGTTTGGTTTGGTAGGCATCACAGAAAACGGATCATTTGAAGCCTCTTGGACCCTCCAGCTGGGTGGCATTAAGCACAGTCACACGGTGTGGCATTGCCACTTAGAGTGGCAGCCACGCTTCCTACCCTCTCACCCCGCCACACCCCCACCCTGCTCACTTTGCATAGCAGCTCCTCATTCACAGGGCTGTCTGAGGGGCTCATTCGTGTCTGTCCGGCTTCTTCCTCTTTTTGATGGCAGAGAGGCACATGTAGTCACTGACTGAGGTCCTCCCGTGGAAGCAGGTGCGAGAGTGAGAACACATCGCGAAGTGGGAGATGAATGATAAGGACCCTGCACTCAGTGCCTCAGCAGAGGTGTGCTGTGGCGGCGAGAACTGTGACTGTGCCCTGGAGTTTCTGTGAATCCCAGCAGGGGGCGCATCGTGACCTGCCATGCCCTTTAGGCAGTGCCATCAGCAGGTTCTGCCAGTGGCGGCTGCATTCCCTTGTTGTGAAGTCGCCATCACCATTCGTTGCTGACTCTCACCTGTGTCAGTTACTGCATTAGAGTGTAAAATCACGATTTTCTGATTGTATCATTCCTTCTGTATTAGTTGATTGTAAGTCTTCTGTATGGAAAGTTCCCTCATTTGCTGGGGCTGTTTGGTTATCCTGAAATGCAGTTTAGACTAGAAGGGAAGACCAAGTGCTGAACTCTGTCCCTCTAATGATCGGTTTTCGAAGGAATGGGTTGGAATCCTAGCACCTTCCAGTGGTCTTAGTGACTGTCTTCTTTTCTGCTGTCTCTCTTTCCTGCCTCCACACTTTCTCTTTTTCTGTCTTTAATTATTTGATCACAGCTGTCAGCAAAGCGACCCATGGTAATCTGTTGTAGCCAGTTTTGTTTCCGATGCTCAAGTGTCCTGTCTCAGTCCAGTGAGGCCCTTCCAGCTGCTCGCCTCGGCTTTCTGACCCAGTTCCCCTGCTCGTTTGTACGAGATGTTGCGGCACACTTGGTGCTTTCCGCGCACAAGCCCTGGAAGTGGCCGCTGCCCCAGAGTGCGGTTTCGTTTTAGTGGGGCATGTTTGGAGACTGCAATCTGGGATCTGAGGGTCCTCATTATTCCTAGGTGGCCATGGCTTTGAGGCCTTGCTAGTGGGCAGAGCTAGGAAATATATTTATTTGAAAATAAACTTAGAATGGTGGTTGCCTCGGGCTGTTTCACTTTGGGAAGATGAGAAGATCCTGGAGACGAGTGGTGGTGCTGGTCACGCACACCGTGAATGTGCTTCATGCCCTGGACTCTCACTGGAAAGTGGTGAAAGGGGCAAATCTTGTATTACAAAAAAGTCCTCTAAATGGAAGTGAAAAATAAGGGACCAAAAAAATGAGAACTTAACACTGACATTTTCATTTTGACCTGATTTTAAGATTATACAGATTCTGCTTAATTCTTGAATTTAATACTTGGGAAGCCTTTTATACTCCAAATTTTGGTCGAAGTTGCTTCTGTAATAAGACCCCTGTACTGCTAATTCTGTGTGATTCTGGCTTTCTCCAGCACTGCTCCGTTGGGTCCCTGGGATTCCGTCCTCCACGTGCTGAGTCTTCCCACTCTCTTCTCTTACACAGACTTTGCTGCCAGGACTTGCTGGCCCCTCTGGGGACGTGATCAAACCCGCAGCAGGAGTGGCCTCTGCCTCTGCCTCCGGAAGTGGTGACAGGGTCTACGCCCACCACATGGTCCGCACAGATTCGCGGGAACAGAAGCTCGATGCCTTCCTGCAGCCCGTGAGCCAGCCACTGTCGAGTCAGCCTCCGGCCACTGTCCCGGAGGGTCAGACAGACGGTTCCAGTGGCGGGGCTGGGCAGCCAGACGAGGAGATGCCGGAACTCCCGGCCCCTGCTGAGGCAGCCGCTGAGACTCGGAGCTTGGAGGGGGATGTGACAAGGGGGACTTTGGAAACATCAGAGAAGAGAGGACCCAGCTCCAGCCCAGGCCTCCCCAGGTACTCGTCTTCCACCTGTGGCTTTTCATGAGCTGCTCGCTGTCATCTCTCTCCTCACTGGGAGAGTGCTGTGGCCCTGTCTCCTGTCTGCCTTTTACCATGGCCCGAGAGTCACCCGCCAGTGTCCTCTGAAATGTCTTACATATCCGTGGTTCTAAACTTAGTTAAAAACATGTCTGGGAAAAAAGCTGCTTTCTTTTCACAAGGGATTTTGATAAAGCCTCCCTAGCAGAGATGGCTGGAAGGAGAAGCCTAAAACCTCACGTTCATCCAACCCGGAACTGCTTTCCCTCCTTTCTGAAGACTCTGCAAATCCAGTTTGTACCTGAGCTGGTGGGGAAGCAGAGCTGGAGAAAGGGGGCAGGAGTGATAATAAAAGACTTGTTCACTTGTGCACAACCCAGAGGCTGTGTGCTGGTACTGTGAAAACGCTCTCTCACTGAAGTCTGTATGGGGGGCATTCTGCGTCTCATGTGTACAGGCAGTGGGTCTGGAGTTCAGGAGGAGCGCGTTTGCCCAGGTCATTTGTCCTGGTTCGTTGGTGGCTGGCCATCACAAACCCTGGCATTAACTGGCCATTTGAACTTAGATCAGGTACTGAGCTCCAGTTACTCTTTGTATATTTTCATTTTATTTGAAAGGCATAGAGAGATTTTTCCATTCATTGGTTTACTCTTCAAATGCCCGCAACAGCCAGGGCTGAGCCAGGCCAAAGCCAGGAGCCTGGAACTCACTCCAGGTTTCTCACATGGGTGACACTGTAGCAGGAAGCAGGGTAGAGGCAGGACTCAAACACAGGTACTCTAAAATGGGATGCAGGAGTCCCACATAGGGTCAGTTCCTGGGACAAACGTCCACCCTCATTTGAGCCTGCTTAGCAAGACAACTTGTAAGGATTTTTGGGGGCAGTGGTAAAGGATGCTGACACTTGTTGGGCAGCCACGCCCTGTGCTGGATACTTCACACGTATAATCTCGTTTAATGCTTTTAACAGCCACGCGGGTTATTGTCGTTTGTGGAGCACTTAGGAACTAGTTGATATTTAACACACAGCAAAGTTGTTTATTATTTTTTTTTTTACTGTAAATCATATTGTGTCACTGCTCTGCTGAACACCTCCCAGTGGCTTCCCACTGCACTTGCCCTCTGCCTGGAAGTGCCCCAGCCCCTTGAGGCTGATGTGAGCCTACTGAGCCGCTCGCCCTCTGCTTGCCCAGGCTTTCCCTTAGCCCAGGGCAGCTCTGGCTTTTTATCACTCAGGTCTCACCCCAGCTGCCACCCCTTGCCAGAGGACACCTTTGTCCATTTGTCTTCTCTTCCCAGCTTTCTGTGACCTTGTTTTATTTTCTTCTTCACTTTTATTGCAATTTGAAGTGTCCGTTGCTGTTTAGTTGGTGTATAACAATGTCTGGTGGATGGATGGATGGGGGAATGAACGGAGGGATGGATGAGGGGGAGTTGATAGGGTCAGTTCCCTTGCTCAGGGCCCTGCAGCTCTGCCAGGCTGAGATAGATCCCATGTTCTTGCTCCACGTAGCTGCGTGGCCAGCTGCTGGGCTCTGAACACTAACAGATAAGGTGCCGGAAAACAGGCCGACCATGCTGGCCTGCTCCTGGGGAGCTCCCACAGAGAACCTGCCCCCGTTCCACAATGCGACACACAGACTTCGGCTTAGTGAGTCTAATAAAGAACGGTTACTACCTGCCAGTTCTTCTCCTCCCTGCAGAAAGAGATGTCGAGAAGATTCTGCTGTGGAAATGATGGAAGATGAGTCCCGGAAGGAAATGACAGCAGCCTGCACGCCCCGGAGGAGAATCATTAACCTCACCAGCGTTTTGAGTCTCCGTGAAGAAATTAATGAGCGGGGACATGAGAGTACGTAAGTGCTGAGGTCTGCCTGGGCCTCGGAGGGACAGGGAGCGTGGCGTGTTGTCGGGGTGCCCACCAGTGTGCTGGGAAGACCTCTCCTATCCCACGGCAGCAGCAACTTCAAGACAGTTTTGAGTGGAAGAGAAAGGAGGAACACAACTCCATTTTAGTGAGAATGTGTGAGCACCATCTAACCATAGGACTCCCAGTGAAGCAGTCATTTCAGTAATGTCCGGCCTGTTTCTGTTTTAGCTAAAAGCTGTGCAGTGGTTGGCAGACTTCTTATCCTGTGGCCCGAAAGTGCACATTTCAGCTACTGCTGGAAGTGCACAGGCTTGGGAGGTAGCCCTGCGTTCAGATGTGGGCGCACCCTCTGTGCCCGTAGCCTGTGTCTATACTGGGGAGGAACAGTGGTTTTTCTACTTACTACTTGTTGAATTCTTTATTTAGTGGAAAGCTAAGTTTATGATTATAAAGTAAATTGAAAGTGTATCATTGTAAAAACAAAAATAAGAGCTGAATTTTCCCTTGAAGATCATTGTGTGGAATAGATATGAAATGTGACTAAACCACTGGTTTCATAGAAAGGAGCCAATAGGTCCTGAAGACTACTAAGTTGTCATTAGCCCTCCTCAGAAGTAGCTTTTGAGACTACCTAAGTGTAGAACTCCATCTTGGCCTCTGTTACTTCAAAACTGACTTAAATGGTTTTAGGAGTTACAGGGCGGTGTTCAGCTCCCGGGGCTGAAGTAGCACAGGGACTGAGGTGCACCGCTCTGAGCCCACTGTGTGAGTCCGACAGTGACGCTCCCAGTCTGGTCTCTGCCAGGGCTCCAGTTCCTGTCCCTGCACTGGAGTCCACGTCATTCAGCCACGACCTTTCCGTGTTTCATCTGTTACGTGTTTCTCCATTTAAACAATTGCAGCACGGTCGCAAAAGGTATCTTGGAGGCCTGCGCCGCGGCTCACTAGGCTAATCCTCCGCCTTGCAGTGCTGGCACACCGGGTTCTAGTCCCGGTCAGGGCGCCGGATTCTGTCCCAGTTGCCCCTCTTCCAGGCCAGCTCTCTGCTGTGGCCAGGGAGTGCAGTGGAGGATGGCCCAGGTGCTTGGGCCCTGCACCCCATGGGAGACCAGGAGAAGCACCTGGCTCCTGGCTTTGGATCAGCGTGGTGCGCCGGCTGCAGCATTGGAGGGTGAACCAACGACAAAGGAAGACCTTTCTCTCTGTCTCTCTCTCTCACTGTCCACTCTGCCTGTCAAAAAAAGAAAAAGAAAAGATATCTTGGATAGGAGCATCTGGATTCCTGCACAGAAACAAGCGGCTGAGGAGCGTTTCCGCCCCTTCCCACTAACCCTTAGCCTTGTGAAATAGACGCTTCCGACTCCGTGGCCTCTTACATTTCTTTCTGTCTCAGTTACATCTACTCTGAGCTAATTCAGGAAGGCCTCAATTTGCCTTCCCTGTTCATTCTCTTTTCCGAGCACTCGGGGCCTTTGTTTATCCGTGGGAGAAGATACAGAGAGTGTCTCTGCACTGGGCGGGGTGAGGACTTCCTGTGACTGAGGTTTTGCCAGCTGCAGAGTAGCTGCCAGTTGGCTTCTGAGTTTTTTCCACGATTTGCTGCAGTTGCTCTTTCCTCCATTACTGGCTTTCAAGCCTGGAGCGTTTAAAGCAAGTTTAACTGAGACAAGCACCCAGGAGGCGGGCTGGTGCTTGACTTAGTGGTCTTCCTCCAGACTCAGATTTGGAATTGCCTGAGTTTTCTTGAAGGGCTAGTCTCCCTCATGCTGCAAGAGCAGGCTGTTTGAAGTTCCAGTTCAGCACACTTGTGAATGATCAAACTCTTTGAGCAGGAACACGCTTGATCAGGTGTGGAGGCTTGCTGAATCTCGGCGGTCTAAACCATACGTTTTCTCATTAGTTCTCGAGTAGTCTTGTGAGGGAGTCGGAGCAGATGCGGGTATCTCTGTTTTAAAGATGGGGAAAGTGGAATGGTGATGGAGAGGTCAGGTTAGTGGGACAGGCCCAGACACGGGCCTCACTGACAAAGCCTTCATGCGGGAAGCCCCACTCAACAGGTAAATCCAAAAGCTTGGTTCTCGTGCTCTGTGACGTGTGCCACTCCCACAGCCCCTTTTCAGCCGTGCTGATAACCACCTGAGGTGCTCTGTCAGCAGCAGGCGCAGTTCAGAGGGGCGCCTCTGCCGTGGACCCTGGCCCACTCACCGACTTCAGGATGAATGTGTACTGGGGTTCCTCTGAGGCTCAGCTTGGCTGAGGAAGTCCAGTAACTACCAGTTGGCTGACCCCCGGTGAAGCTGCCCCTCTGGCCCAGGCAAAAAAGAAGAGACACTTCCCTTGTAAGAGTATTCTTGGCCGCACTTGCATGTTTGTTTATTTCATCCATGTGTTGTCTATGCAGGGATAAGGGTTTTGTTTTTTTTTTTGTTTTTTTTTTTTTGTTTTAAGATTTATTTGAAAGAGTTACAGGGAGAGACAGAAAGATCTTCCATCTGCTGGTTCACTCCCCAAATGGCCGCAATGGCCAGGGCTGGCCCAGGCCAAAGCCAGGAGCCAGGAGTTATTTCTGGATCTGCCACGTGAGTAGCAGGGGCCCAAGCACTTGGACCATCTTCTGCTGCTTTTCCCAGGCCATTAGCAGGGAGCTGGATCAGAAGTGGAGCAGCCGGGACTCAAACTGGCACCCATGTGGGATGCCAGTGTCACAGATGGAGGCTTTACCTGCCAGCCGCGGGGAGCATGTCTTGAGCTCACTGCCTCAGCCTGGGTGCCTGGCCTGAGAACTTAGTAGCTATTTGCTGAAGAAGCAAGGGATTGAGAGGTGAAGCCATGGCATGGGTGTTGTAGCAGGGTTGCAGCTGAACACCAGTCAGACTACTCTCTTGAGCCTGCTGGACTTCCCTTCCCTGGTAGATGCGCTTTCAGTGACTGTATGAGATGAATTTCGGAAGGCCCAGGGTTCAGATAAGCTTTCTGTGGAATTAGCCTTATCTCAGGGGTTACCCATTGCTAGTCCTGTAGTTTAATCTAATCAGCAGGAGTGAGGAATGCGATAAGCTAAAATATTTGCTGTCATTTCAATGGGAAAATATACTTAACTTTTTTAAAAAAAAAGATTTATTTATTTACTTGAAAGGCAGAGTTACGGGGGTTGGGTGGGGGGCGGGAAGAGATTTTCTATCCTCTGGTTCACTCACAAAATGGCCACAACAGCTGGAGCTGAAACGATTCGAAGCCAGGAGCCAGGAGCTTCTTCTGTGAGTCTCTCAAGTGGGTGCAGGGGTCCAAGGACTTGGGCCATCCTCCGCTGCTTTGCCGGGCTGATGTAAGGAGCTGGATCGGAGCAGCCGTGACTCAAAACCATATGGCACCATAGGCAGTGGCTTTACCCACTATACCACAGCACCAGCTCCACTTAACATTTTTGTCTCCAGAAATCTACAGCTTGTATTTTCTTGGTGTTTGGTGAATATCTTGGGTCTAAGTATGCATACTGTACATGGTGATGGTTCCTCTTGGTCCATGATCAGGTCAGCAGACTTCACCCAAGACCTGTGTACAAATGCACTGTGCCAAGCCCAGAGGCAGAAGTCAAAGTAAGCAAGCCATGACCCTCCCTTAAGGGATACCATGGTGTTGTGGGCAGCGTTTGGTTAACAGTGGGCTGCAGTGCTAGGTAGAAGGAAGGACATGGAGAGCGTCCAGCAGGGCGCTTGGAGGCTTGTAGCCTGCCCGTGGGCATCAGGAACTAGAGGCCTGGCTGCCCTTCCAGTTGGGCTTTGCTTGCTCCTTCAGGACAGCGTGCTGAGACCCAGGGCCTTGGTCATGAACTCAGATGTGTGGTTTGGCTCTGAAGCACACAAGGATTTGGCTCACTTGGCTGCTCACAGAACGGTAGGTAAATACCTACACACGTCTGGTGCCCTGCGGGCGTTTCGGGGAGGAGTGCAGTGCAGGTCCTTTGAGTTGCGCTGAGAGGCCGTGAAGAGGCTCAGAGAAGAAACGCCCTGGGCTCCGTGAGTGGCAGCCGCCTCCCTGCCCGCCCTGCTGGGCAGAGCTGCAGTGCAGTCGCCTGGCTGCGTCTGAGCAGTCCACAAGCACTCCCGTGTAAAACCCTGTGACCTTGTTCTAATGGTCCCGCTGCTTTCTCTTCCCTCCAGTGCCTCATTATTCAAGGTTATTTGATGTTCCCCAGCTTTTAAAATAATCATTTTTCGCCTACACAGAACATCCTATGGAGACATTGAGTTCCCAGTGAGAACAAAGGGGACCCCACTTCTACCAATGCAGAAGTGCTTCCCTTCTGTGGGGGTGGTGGTGGTGTCTCAGAACTTCCGTAACGAAAGAGAACTCCCTTGTGCTGCCCAAACGTAAAAAAAAAGCCTTACTAAAGACATGACGTACAGGCTTCTTGCTGTGCCCGGACCCACAGCCCTGCTTTCACCTTCTTGCCCCTTGTAAAACACATACGTGTGCATGTGTGAAGTACAGGCACATGTGTACCAGGCCTCCAAAACAGTCATGGAAACGCGTATCAAAAAACTGCATGAATTTTAAAATTTGCACTAGAATAACTTACCTTTTAATTTCATTTTCCCATGGATTGTTTTTTCAAGTATTTATTTATTTGAGAGGCAGAGATAACAGAGAGATTTTCCATCTGCTGGTTTACTCCCCAAATGGCCGCAACGGCCGCAAGCTGGCCTAGAGCTGATCGGTCAATCTGAAGCCAGGAGCCAGGAGCTTCTTCTGGGTCTCCCATGTGGGTGCAGGTGCCCAAACACTTGGACCATCTTCTACTGCTTTCCCAGGCCATGAGCAGGGAGCTGGATTGGAAGTGGGGCAGCCAGGACTGAAACCAGAGGCACCCATGTGGGATGCCGGTATTTAACCTACTGTGCCACAACATTGGCCTCTCTGGATTTTTTGAAGTACCAACATGCAAAAGTATATCCACACATGCTGAAACATCCACAGATGTCCAGAACATGTATGTGGCATCTACAGGAGAAGCCAGGGAATGCCCGTGGGGCCTGTGCCTGCTAACAACAGGGCGTTCCCCTCACCTTCTGCTGTGGGGCAGCTGGAAAGTACGCTCTCTGGAGAGAAGTGTACCCCCCACGGTTCAGGCCACCCTTTCCCACGACCAGAGGGGCACTGGGAGTGGTGTTGGGGTGGAGCTTAATTCAGTATTCAAGGAGGCAGGGCATGAGTGCTGCCTGTCCCTTGCCCTTTTTGGAAATCTCAGAAGTGTCATGGCTTCAGGTGCATGATGGGAATAGTGGTGTAGGCCATGGTCCTTTTATTATAATGACCTTAGAATGAGCTAAAGGTTATTGACACAGCTGGCAGCCACATTGGTTATGCTGAGCCAGTGCCGGTTCTAAGGAACAAAACTGGAGAAGCTGTGTTTTCCTGTGCACATCGTGGGGGGGGGGGGGGGGGCCTCCGGGCCGTGCAGGAGAGGCTGCAGCCCAGGCGAGGCTCCAGGGAAGGGCTGGCAACCTCAGTTCCACCTCGCTCCTCTATGCTTCTTCCCTGTCCTGTTTCCATCCCCCAGAGGTAACTGCTAGCCTACATTTTGTCATTATTCTGCCTCTCCTTTTTGTTATAGTTTTACCACCTATGTTTGTATTACTGCTTTTTTTTTAGTTACAAATGGAATTATATAGTGTTTTCTGTATTTTACATATGAGGGTACTTGAAAGTCTGTGGAAAATGGAATTAAAAGTTTATTTTGGTGCAAAAATTCCTTTGAAATCCGTGTTTAGTTTCTTGATAGGTATTTTTCATGAATTTTTGAAAATCCCTCATGTGCATGGATTTTAAAATTTTATTATACCAAAGGAAACTTGTAATTTTCTTTAACTTCTGGAAGATCCCTCGTATAGACACACACAACTTGTGATCCGAGTGCTAGCCATCTTGTTACCTGTAGCTGTGATTACATTGGGTCCTAGATTCCACCTCCTGAGCGCCTGGTTCTGTGGAGACATTCAGAGAACTCAGGTGGCTTCAGTCCCTCTTCTTGGCCATGAGCTGATAAGTGGGTTGGCTCCGGGTTTGTATTTAAGAGAATTTTAAATGACAGACTGTGTTTATTACACTCCCACCAGCAATGTAGAGAAGTTGCGTTTCCTCTGTGAAACAATATCTGATGGTGGAGTTTTTTTGTTTTCTATTTCCTTGGTTATTGATAAAGTTGAGTATATAACCCCTTCTATTAAGTGTCTATTCCAGACTTCTGTCCATTTTCCTGTTGAGTTTCTTATATTTCTGAGTGATGTTAGGAGTTCTTTATATATTTTAGGTAGTTGCCAGTTACATGAAAATATCTTTTTTTTTTTTTTTTTTTGACAGGCAGAGTGGACAGTGAGAGAGAGAGAAAGGTCTTCCTTTGCCATTGGTTCACCCTCCAATGGCCAACGCGCTGCGCTGATCTGAAGCCAGGAGCTAGGTGCTTCTCCTGGTGTCCCATGGGGTGCAGGGCCCAAACACTTGGGCCATCCTCCACTGCACTCCTGGGCCATAGCAGAGAGCTGGCCTAGAAGAGGGGCAACCAGGACAGAATCTGGTGCCCCGACCGGGACTAGAACCCGGTGTGCTGGCGCCGCAAGGCGGAGGATTAGCCTATTGAGCCACGGCGCCGGCACATGAAAATATCTTCCTCCAGTTTTGTGCTCATCTGGTAGCTTTCTCTTAGAAACACTTGTTTTACGAATAAGAAATTACTTGGTATAATATAAGCAGATTTTTATCAATTGTTCTTTACAGTTTCCTTTTTATCTTAAGAAATTCTTCCTGATTCTTGGATAATTTTAGATATGCTCATAATGTTTCTTAAAAGGCTTGTATGGAAGTCACTAGGCCACCTGGAATTGATTTTGTATGTGTGTGTGGGGGGGGGGGGGGTGTTAGATTCACAGTTGCCATGTAACTATCTAATTGTTCCATAATATGTTGGTATTGTCATATTTTTGGTCTTAATTCCTTCCTTTAGACCTTTCTTGGGGCCTTTGATGGCTCTCTTCACCTTTGGTCCTGCTGTAACAAAGCACCATAGACTGAGTGGCTTACAAACAATCAAAACTCATCTCTCAGGGCAACTCTGGCATAGTAGGCTAAGCCCCCACCTAGGGCCCTGGCATCTCTGGCACTGTTTCATGTCCCAGCTGCTCCTCTTCTGATCCAGCTCTCTGATATGGCCTGGGAAAGCAGTGGAAGATGGCTCAAATGCTTAATTTTTTTAAAAAAAAATTCATCTCTCACAGTTCTAGTAGCAACAGTCAAGGTGCTGACAGATTCTGTGTCTGGTGAAGGCACGATTCCTCATGGGTGGCACCTGTTAGCAGCATCCTTACATAGTAGACGGAGCTAGCCAGCTCTCTGAGGTCTCTCATATGGGCTCTGATCCCAGTCATGAGGGAAAGCTAACCACCTCCTCAAGGCCCACTTCCTAATACTATCACATTGAGAGTTAAGATTTCAACATATGAAATTTGGGAGGACCAAAACATTCAGATAATAACAGTGGCAAACTGAATTTTGCTTTGTCTAATTCACTCTTTTTTTAAGATAGATTGATTGATTTGAAAGTCAGTTAGAGAGAAGTAGAGACACACAAGAGAGAGGGAAATATCCTGTAGCCACTGGTTCCCTCCACAGATGGCTACAACGGCCAGGGCCGACCCACACCACAGCCAGGAGCTTCATCCAGGGTTCCCACATGGGTGGCAGTGGCCCAAACAATTGGGCCATCTTCTGCTGCTTTCCCGGACACAGTAACAGGGAGCTGGATCAGAAGCAGAACATTTGGGACACAGACGTATTCATATGGGATGCTGGTGTCACAGGTGGCGGCTCTACCCGCTGCACTACAGTGCTGGCCCTCTAATTCACTCTTACTTTAAAAAATATTTTGGTTGAGTTTTAAATTTGACAGTTATTTTTTCCTAGTGCATTAAGAGTATTTTCCTATCATTTTCTGATTTCTGCTATTGCTGTGGAAAATCCAGCCTTCAGTCTTTTATTTTATGACCCAGTGGATGACCTGTCTTTTCTTCTGGGTGCTTTTGAGATCTTTTTTGAAATACCCTGCAGTGACGAGCAGATGTGGGTCCTGTGGGTTTCCTGGAGCTGAGACGCGACATCCTCCATCGCTCAGGAGTGTTCTCAGGTGTTTGGTCTGCGGACACATCAAACACCAGAGCTCCTGCCTTTTCTGGAACAAATAGGAGGGGTCTTCAAAAAGTTCATGGAAAGCGCATTATGAATAAAGTATGCATGGATTTCAAAATTTTTTGCACCAAAATAAACTCATCTTTTAATTCTGTCTCCGTGAACTTTTAGAACTGCCCTCGTTATTATCGCTCAGGTCATGTAAGCTGTCTTCATAGTTTCCATCTCTTTGCCTCTCTGCTGCATGGTGCCAGCTTTGTCTGGTATGTTCAGTCTGGTTCAAGTCTTGGTTATTAGCTTCTTCATTTTCAGAAGGTCTGTTTGCCTTTTTGGGAATCTTGGGCCCTGCTGCTTGCGCTCAGGGTCACTGCCTGTCGCGCACACTGTGCAGGCTTCTCTTGTGTCCTGGTCTGACGCTTATCTCTAGAACCTTTGCAGCTCTCACTCTGAGGTTTCTTCTGTATTCTAGTTCTTGATGCTTTGTTTCTTTGTCACTTTTTGATTGCTAGGTAGGGGTACTTCATCTATGGAGGGTTATTTAAGCCTGGATCGAAGATGAACTTCTCTAGAGAGAATTGCATTTGATTCTACCCAGGGCCCTGCGGGAACAGTCAGGCCTAGTATCTATCTCAGCTCGGCATCCACTTCCGGCTTTCAGGCACCTGGCTCCCACAGACCAGCTGCAGAACCGTGTGAGGACCAGACTGTGGTTACACACTCTCAGGGGTGCCTCAGGGTGGCCATCTGGCCTGCTGCCCTTTAAGAGGGGGTAGGCTGAGCACTGGGCACAGTAGTCTCCTGTCTTTCTGTCTCTCTTTCTCTCTTTATCTCCTCCTGTATTTATATGTGTATCTTTATCTCCTCCTGTATTTATATGTGTAATTCTGACTTTCAAATAAATTAATTTTTTTAAAAAAATTTATTTGAGAGGCAGAGCCACAAAGAGGCAGAGGCAAAGACAGAGAGAAGTCTTCCATCTGCTGGTTCACTCCCCAGATGACTCTCTCTCTCCCTCCCTCCCTCCCTAACTCTGACTTCCAAATAATCTTTAACAAAAGAAAGTATTGTGCCATCAAGAAGATATTTGTCTGTCTTCTGCAGGCACCTTGCGTGCTTGGCGGCTCCTGCGTGGCGTGTGGGACGGTGGAGCGGTGCTGCTAGGACGGCGTCTTACCAGGGTGTGTGTTTTCCAGCTCTCCGGGAGATGCTGCGTGACTCCTCCTTCGTGGGCTGTGTGAATCCTCAGTGGGCCCTGGCGCAGCATCAGACCAAGCTGTACCTTCTCAACACCACCAAACTGAGGTGAGTGAGTGAGAGTGTGAAGAAAGCCAAGCCGTGAGAAGACTGTGTCAAGGACACGAGCATGCAGAGCTGGAGGGAACATGATGTGAGTTACAAAGGACATAGGCTTCGCAGTCAGACAGGCGTGGCTTCAGACCTAGGTTCAGCTGTATCCCGTGTGCCTGACCGTGGACGAGTTACTGTCCTAAGCAGGTCTCAGGTTTCGCATGTGTCAGTTGGGGTAGCACTGCTTGGCCTGCAGGACTCTGAGTGTGTAAGAAATAACAATCTGGGGTGAGGGGGTAAGGAAAAAGAATGAAAAGAAGAAATACCCTGAGAAGCCTCTCCTTGGTAGGTGCTTGGTGTTCACAGGTATTGAGGGCTTCGAGGTGCTGGAGAATTCTAGAATCTGCTGAGTGCACCAAGTACTGTGGGAGACACAAGAGAAGGGACTTGATGCTTTGTTTCCTCTCCCAGTGTTGAGAATATGGCACAGGCTTCCTCCAGCCACCAGAGCCATGGGGGTTGATTAGCCCAGGCAGGGGAGACCCCAGCAGTGCCATCTGCACAGTGCATAGGTGGTGACTTTCCTGCCGACTGTTTGCAGGGACCTGGGTGGTAAGCTCCTCTTGGGTCTCCAACCCCTGGTAATGTGTCCTTGAAACAGTAGCGCATCTGGGAGGAAGCTGAAACACGCTTCCTTCTCTGCGGACTCCTGCCCTGCCGGCTGGCTGTGGCCTTAGAGTGCTGCCTGGCCCTTTGAGCGGGGCAGCCACTGTGTGGATTCATGGGAGCATCCCTGAACGTGGAAGCTGCCCCTTCCTGACACACATCCCTCCTCGGATATTCAGAACTCATTCTCCTAGGCTTGGAAACCCAGTTGTGCTTCTGTGTTCAAGCTCCGCTTTGTGTGTTTAGGATCCTTAGGCTTGGATAGTGAGCTGTCGCTCATCTGTTGGGAATTCTACTCCGTTGCTCTTCTAAATGTGTGGCTTCCAAGGCTCCAGATGACACTTGCATTCAGATTCTTTCATATCCCAAATAGAAATCCAGGCCAGTCCCAGGGTTACAGCTGTTAGTAAATGTGAGTGATTTCCCGGTAAGACAGTGAAAATCCTAGGGAGAGAACCAGGGTCAGAGTCCAGTCTACGTTCAGCTCCTTCCTCTGCCACTTTGCTCACTGACATGCAGCCAGGCCATAACTGGGGGCCTGTTTTCCCACCGTAATGCAGGCTTTGATGAATGGAAAGTTGTGAAGCCACAACTATAAGATTCAGATTGTTTGAAGAACTATAAAGTACCGTATAAATGGGGCATACTCCAATTCTGTGGTTTTGTAAGTAGTTCAACACATTGTGTACTCCACAGCTGCCAGCCAGTGCGTCATCCTACACCCACGTGTCCGTGTAGGATAATTTGGCCTTATGTCCACTTGTGATTATTTAGGACAATTCCTGCTCTCATTGTACTGTTCCATGTAATTTTTAATGGTGAGTTATAAAAAAGTTGAGCTATAGGATTCTTTGTAAATAGGGAAGGGGAGGGGTGAATCAAATAACTTCTCAAAATTTCACTCCAGGGTGTCAGAAACCACTGAGATCAGTCCCAGAGAGGCAGGACCAGGGCATGGGTTATAGCAGGCCAGACCTGGTCCTAGGACGGCTCACCCAAAGCCCTGGCTGGAGCTGACATTGGACTCCTAGCTCTTGGAGGAGTAAGACTTCTTGTTCCACTGTTGACCGGTTCCCACAGGCAGGCAGAAGCACGTGTGTCCCACCCGTGTTTCGGGGGTCTTCTCTCTTTCTGTGTCCCTGTTGCTTGGCTCCCAAGCCTGGTTTCAGCCTTGCCTTAGTCATTTTCTCTTTATTTTCAGTGAAGAGCTGTTCTACCAGATACTCATTTATGATTTTGCCAATTTTGGTGTTCTGAGATTATCGGTAAGTTTATCTCCTTCTAACTTCCGAAACTTCCACTACTGGGCATTTCTGAACAAAATGGCTCAACATTCATATCTTATTTGAAGAATATTGAAGGTTTCTAAATATGCTTAGAATAGTTTCGGTGTCATATGATGTCTACATGAAGGTATCTTTAATAATGTTTTATACTTTTTAGCCAGATAGTCATTTAATAGCCACCATACACAAATGACTGCCGTGGAAATTAATCCATATCCACATAAGAAAACTTGGAAAGAGATAAAAATAAACATTCCTTGAAGCTGTGGTCCAGACACAACCCCACTAACAATTTTAGCCCATTTCTTCTAAGACATTTCAATGCCTGCTTTTAATTTAGAGTAAATATCATACTGCCAATATAGTTGCATAGCTACTTTTTTCATGTGACCTAACTCTGCAAAAAAAGCCTGCTGAGATTTTGCTAGGGTTTGTGTTGAATCTGTAGGTCAACATGAAGATAAAATCCTTTTTTAGGATTATGCCTTAAGATTTCTTTTTTTTTTAGTATCTATTTCTGACAGGCAGAGTGGACAGTGAGAGAGAGAGACAGAGAGAAAGGTCTTCCTTTGCCGTTGGTTCACCCTCCAATGGCCGCCGCGGCCAGCGCGCTGCGGCCGGCGCACCGCGCTGATCCGATGGCAGGAGCCAGGAGCCAGGTGCTTTTCCTGGTCTCCCATGGGGTGCAGGGCCCAAGCACCTGGGCCATCCTCCACTGCACTCCCTGGCCACAGCAGAGGGCTGGCCTGGAAGAGGGGCAACCGGGACAGAATCTGGTGCCCCGACCGGGACTAGAACCCGGTGTGCCGGCGCCGCTAGGCAGAGGATTAGCCTAGTGAGCCGCAGCGCCGGCCAAGATTTCATATTTTTTATGCTGTTGTAAATGGCATTGTTTTAATTTCAATTTTCAGTTGTTTATTGCTAGTATGTAGAAATACACATTTTCGGGGCTGGCATTATGGCATAGTGGGTTAAGCCACCGCCTGCAATACCACCATTCCATATGGGCACCAGTTTGAGTCCCGGCTGCTCTACTCCCGATCCAGCTCCCTGGTGACGCTCCTGAGAAAGCACTGGAGGATGGCCCAAGTCCTTGCCATCCACCTGTGGGACCCACATGGAGCGCCAGGCTCCTGACTTCAGCCTGCCAGGACCTGGCTGTTGCAGCCATGTGGGGAGTGCATCAGTCTCTCCCTCTCTCTCTAACTCTGCCTTTGTGTTTTTTTAAAAGAAGTACATGTATCTTGCAATCTTGCTGCACTCATTAACTCGAGCAGTTTTTTGTAGATTCTGTTAGATTTTTCTGCACAGATGATCATGTCTTCTGAGACTAAGGTAGCTTTACTTCCCCTTTACTTTCCATACAATCCTGGATGAGTTTTGATTTTGTTTTCTTGGTTGATTGCACTACCTACACCCTCCAGTACAATGTTGAACAGAGTGATAAGGATGGAAATTCTTCCCTTTTTCCTGATCTTAAGGGAAAGTGTGAAGACTTTCACCATTAGATATGCAAAGACAGAGTCATGTAGATGCTGAGGGAGCCCCTTCTGTTGTGTGCTTGGGGTGTTTGTTTAGGAATGGATGCTGGTTTTTTTTCAAATGCTTTTTTTCCATCTATTGAGATCATACAATTTTTGTTTTTATTTGTTAATATAGTGAATTATTCTGATTTTCATGTTAAACCAATTTACATCCTAAGATGAAACCATGCATGGTCATGATGTGCATTATCTTTTTAATGTGTTATGGATTTAGTTTGCTCAAATTTTGCTTATAGTGTTTATGTTTTAATAAGCATCATGTTCATAAACATGTTTCCTTACATTTGTGTGGCCTTAGTATCAAGGCAGTACTGGCCTCACACAGTGGGCTGGGGAGCGTCCCCTGCTTTTCCGTTTTATGAGAGAGTTGGCATAGAATTGGTGTTCTTTATTCCTTGTTGCTGGATAGACTTCACCAGCAAAGCCATCTGGGCTTAGGGATGACTCATGGGGAGATTTTAACAGCAAACTCAGCTTCTTTAATGGGTATAGGACTATTCAAGTTCTGTTTCTTCTTGCACAAGGTTTTTGTTTTGTTTTTGTTTTTGGCTTTTTTTTTCTAAGTTTTTGGACTTATTGCCTTAAGTTGTTCATAGTAGTTCTGGTTCTTTTAATATTCATAGATCTGTTGGGTGGAGCCGAAACTCGAACCCAGGCACTCTGATACTGTACACCTCATGGGCTGTGTGCATCCCACTGTGCCAGATACCCCATTCATTAATTTCTCTTTTGATTTCTTCTTAAAAGTATGCAGAAAAAATAAATCAGGATTTTTAAAATGGATTTTTTTAACTGTAATACTTAGTTTCCTATCTCTTGGGGATTTTCCAGCTATCTGTTACTGATTTCTAATTTATTTTGGTCAGAGAACCAAAATACTTGAATCCTTTTACACCTGAGACTTGTTTCCTGGCCCAGAGTGTATCCTTGTGAGTAACGTTCCTGGAGTACCTGAAATGAATTTGTATTCTGATCTTGACTAGAAGGCTCTATAAATGTCAGGTGTATCAAGTTGATAGTGATGCCCAAATCTCTCTCTACTCATTTTCTTCTTGTTTTATCAATTACTGAGAAAAGGTATATTGAAATCGTTAGCTGTTAATTGTGAATTTGCCTATTTCTCTTTAAAATTCTTTACTTCATTTTTTTTTTTTAGATTTATTTATTTATTTGAAAGAGTTACACAGAGAGAGAAGGAGAGGCAGAGAGAGAGAGAGAGAAAGTCTTCATCCTCTGGTTCACTCCCCAATTGGCTGCAACAGCTGGAGCTGTGCCGATCTGCAGCCAGGAGCCAGGAGCTTCTTCCAGGTCTCCCATGCGGGTGCAGGGGCCCAAGGACTTGGGCCATCTTCCACTGCTCTCCCAGGCCACAGCAGAGAGCTAGATCAGAAGTGGGGCCATCCATATAGGATGCCAGCACTGCAGGCAGCCCCACTTTCTGTATTTTAAAGCTGTTACTGGATGCATAAGCCTTGGGTTTCTCATGACCCTTTGACTCCTACTGTGAAAATGTTAACAATGTGCTGTGTGGGTCTGTGGCGTGATACAGCATGACCGTAGTAACAGCGTGAGAAGAGGAGCCCGGGCGTGTTGTTCTTCACTGTAGATTCCAGTCTTTCCTCACCAGAATTTCTTGAAATGTTACTCAATTTAACTTCTTAGTCTCCCTCCCCTACGAGTGAGGCAAAGGGCAAAAATGATCTGTTCTAGATATGTGAAACGGAGTCCTGGAAGAGACGCAGAGTACCTTCCACGACCTCAGCCTTCCCACCGGATGAGCAAGCTTTCAGTCCCCCTGGCCCCTGCAGCGGCCACTGGGAGGAGAAGTGGGCTTGGCATGCACCGTTCAGCCTGCCTTCGCGGGCGTGGGGAGCGAGTGTCGTCCGCGGCCGCCGCCTCTCTTCTCAAAACGGCGTCATTGCACATTCTAGCGAAGGCTCACTGCCCACCGTCCTTGCTCCCCCAGGAGCCGGCTCCGCTCTTTGACCTCGCCATGCTGGCCTTGGACAGTCCTGAGAGTGGCTGGACGGAGGAGGATGGCCCCAAGGAGGGGCTCGCCGAGTACATCGTGGAGTTCCTCAAGAAGAAGGCCGAGATGCTTGCAGACTACTTTTCCCTGGAAATTGACGAGGTGGGAAAGCCAGTGCTTTTAAGATTTATTTATGTATTTATGTGGAATTTAGAGTTGGAGAGAGAGAGAGGTCTTCCGTCCACTGGTTCACTCCCCAGATGGCTGTAATGGCCAGGACCGGGTCAGGCCAAAGCTAGGCGCCAGTGGCTGCAGCTGTCTCCCACGTGGGTATCCGGCCCAAACACTGGGGCCATCTCCCACTGCCTTTCCTGGGCCGTAGCAGGGAGCTGGGTCAGAGGTGGAACAGCTGGGACTCACGCCAGTGCCCGTGTGGAATGCTGGCATTGCGTCCAGTGGCTTTGCCCAGCATGTCAAAATGCCGGCCCCAACAGCCATTCCTATACCTCTGTTGTGTCCTTCAAATATGAGTCCACGTCAGGATCAGGGCCAGGAGGCCTGGCCTCCCTTCAGAAGCTCTGCTGACATGGGCGACATCCTTGTATACCCCCCTTGGATCTAGACTACACAGTGTACTGTCGTCCATTCGTGTCCACTGCTTTTCCCAAGCTGAGAGCCCTGGACACCAGGGAGCCCCGGGCCCACAGTCCCTGCAGGCTGCAGGAAGTACACTGTGCCACTTGCTTTCTCTTCCTCCTCTCCCCCTGACCTCTGGGGCTTTTCTGTCTTGGGTTTCGTGGTCGAAAGGAAAGGCTATGTTGCAACACACTAGGCTGAGCATTCCTTTGAAGTACTTGGTCCTTCCGCCCTCCGTGCCCAGCACGCGCTTTGTCACCCAGAGTGCCAGCTCTGAGCACAGGCCTGACGCGGCATTGGACAAGTGCCATTTGTTTGAATTGGTTTCACAGCGTTGTTTCTTGTCTCCTTGTCAGGAAGGGAACCTCACTGGATTACCCCTGCTGATCGACAACTATGTGCCCCCTCTGGAGGGCCTGCCCCTCTTCATCCTTCGACTGGCCACTGAGGTGAGCAAGCGGGCATGGGCAGGGCGCAGGGCAGAGGGCACGGGATCACACCTGCCGCTGCAGTCCTGCCGGGTCACTGCCAGCACAGCCTGAAGGCTTCAAAAGTCAGAGTTAGGTTTCTGGCTTTAAGTAGTCTGACTGCTATTCAGAAATGAAAATGGACCCATCCTGAGGTATTGATTCTTTGGACCAGGTGAACTGGGATGAAGAAAAGGAATGCTTTGAGAGCCTCAGTAAAGAATGTGCTATGTTCTACTCGGTCCGCAAGCAGTACATATCTGAGGAGTCGACCCTGTCAGGCCAGCAGGTACCGTGGGATGTTCCCTGCACCCCAGGACTGGGAGGGCCCCATGCAACCCGGAGGTTGACCTCCAGATGCCGGGTTCACTGTCCATATGGTACCAGGTTCAAAGACAGGGGCCAGCTTCTATTCATGAGTTCTACTCCCTTCTGTTCAAGAACGTACCTCCGCAGCGCAATCAGAAATGGTCGATGCCTCCCCAGGGAGAACGAGAGGGAGCCGGGTCGTCCAGGCCGATGGGTCCCTCCTCCCCCTGCGGCCCGTCTTCGGGTCTTCAGATTCTGTCCTCCGTCTGCTTAGCTGTCCTCACTCTGTGCCCACCCACTTGTGGAAACAAGGCTGTGTCACTCAGCCTCGCAGGCAGCTTGACAGAGCCAGGGCTCTTAGGCGACGGTGCTCCTCAGGGGTGAAGGGGGTTGGAGTGCCTCAGAGTCGACACGGAGCCACCTGTCTCCCCACCTCAGCCGCTGCTGCAGCCGCGCTCTGCGGCGAGGTGGGACGCTGCACTCACCGGTGGGGGCTCGGGCTGCTGGCCCACAGCGGCGAGCGGGGATTCCAGGCTCGAGCTCCGAGGGCCGAAGTCCTTTTAGGAAGCTCCCCGTGGCCGCGGAGCAGCAGGGCAGCGCACCCTCACCCCGCCCCCTGCTGTCTCGCTGGACTGGAGAAATGGACCTCGAGCAAAGCAGGGAGATGAGAAAACGTTTTCTCGTATGTGACACCACTGAGGCTGGACGTGGGGATGATGACCCAGTAATCCTCGTGTTTATTTTCCTCTCTCACCTGTGTGGAGCCTTGTGGGAAACACCCCGGTTGAGAGATGAGATGAGGCACTGCCTACCGTTGCGATCAGACATGAGTGAGGATCCAAGATCAGGTCAGATCTTGTCACACTGGAGCAGTGGCTTCTTCAGAACCTGTGCATCCCCGAGAGGCGGGCCCACGAGGCGCCTTGCCCGTTGGCCAGTGTGTGCTGGTGCCGTGCAGAGACTCATGAGGCCCGGTGCTGTTTTCCAGAGCAAAGCCGCTGGCTCCAGCGTGAACTCCTGGAAGTGGACCGTGGAACACGTCGTGTACAAGGCCTTCCGCTCCCACCTGCTGCCCCCGAAACACTTCACGGAGGACGGAAACATCCTGCAGCTCGCTAACCTGCCCGACCTATACAGAGTCTTTGAGAGGTGCTGAGTTGGCGCATGGTGACCTCTGGGCTGGGTTCTCTCTGTCCTCGTGCTGCATTGGGACAGAAGGCTGAAGACGGGCAGTGCTCCTTCACGCTTGGTGATCCACTATAAACAAACAGTCAGGTGTGTCCTAACATGGCTTCTGATTAAAGTTCACTGCACATGCAAGTTTTCTAGAACACCTTTCTCCTAAGGCACACTTGATGGGGTTGAACTATCCCAAAAGAAATTCCAAAGCCTCCTAGGCATATGAGGTGTTTTTTTGTTTTGTTTTGTTTTGTTTTTTGTTTTGTTTTGTTTTGTTTTTAACAGGCAGAGTTAGACAGAGAGAGGGACAGAGAGAAAGGTCTTCCTTCTGTTGGTTCACCCCCAAAATGGCCACTACAGCCGGTGCACTGTGCTGATCTGAAGCCAGGAGCCAGGTGCTTCCTCCCGGTCTCCCATGCAGGTGCAGGTACCCAAGCACTTGGGCCATCCTCCACTGCCCTCCCGGGCCACAGCAGAGAGCTGGCCTGGAAGAGGGGCAACTGGGACAGAATCTGGTGCCCCAACTCAGACTAGAACCCGGGGTGCCGGCGCCGCAAGCGGAGGATTAGCCTAGTGAGCCGTGGGGCCGGCCGGCATATGAGTTTTTATACAAGTGCCGTGAAGAATTCTGAAAGGGTCTTGAAGATGTCCTAGATCATGCTGTGATCTGATTCGGTCTATATTTTGGTGAATTTCTCTCATCAGATGATATATATTGTCACTTCAAATGCTTCTTAAAAGGTCCTGAACTGGGGCCAGTGCTGTGGCAAAGATTTAAGCCTCTGCCTGTTGCACCAACATCCCATATGGGCTCTGGTTTGAGTCCTGGTTTCTCCAGCTCCCTGCTGTGGCCTGGGAAACAGTGGAAGATGGCCCAAGTCCTTGGGGCCCCTGCACCTGTCTAGGAGACCTGGAGGAAGGTCCTGGCTCCTGGCTTCAGATCGGCATAGCTCCGGCCATTCTAGCCCATTTGGGAGTGAACCAGCAGATGGAAGACCTCTCTGTCTCTGTCTCTGTAACTAACTCTGCCTTTCAAATAAAATAAATAAATCTTAAAAAAGAGTCCTGGAGAACAAGAGTTTCCGATGACATTCACTGTATTTACTGTTCAGAAAGCTTGAATTGATGCTCTGTTAGTATCTTCCATAGTGAAGATAATTTACTGTGGGAAACCCTGAGGGAAGGAACAGTCTTCATGCACTCTGTAACTGGAATCATCTTTAAATTAGCCCACGCTGATAGTGGCTGAATGCCACAAGCCTCAAGAGAAACAGGTTTCCAGGGGACTTCAGAGCTGATGCAGTGGAGGTACCCAGCACTCACGGCCACCTCCACAGACAAGCCCCCGCCAGCAAACCGCTGCGTGTCGAGGTGAGCGCCCGAGGACGAGCGCCGGGGCTCAGGAGGGAGGACGAGGAAGCTGGCAGGACAGAGACTGGGGCGGCAGCAGGAGCAGAGCCGCTGGGCCCCCAGGACACGGCCCCACAGCTGGCGGCGGGCTCGTTGCAGAGGAAAGGGCAGACGGAGGAGAGCCGCACGGAGCCCACGCGCTCACTCCACTGGGCAGTCCTGGCCGCGGCACGACGCACAGGCCCAGCCCTGTATGGATCCAGCGCAAGCCCTTGTGAAAACCCCCGCAGCCTGCAGAGAGCCGGCGGTGGCGGGCACATCCTGAGGAAGCCGTCACGGCCGGCGTCTGCAAGCTCCCAGCAGATGGTGGCCTCTGCAGAACCCATCCCCAGGGCCCCGACATTCTCCCACGCCACGTGGCCTTGGACCTGGTAGAGCCACCGTGACGCCCTCGCGTGGCCGGGCTCTGCACTGCAGGGGACCGGATGAAGAACAGCAAGGGGATCCTGCCTCAGGACCAGAGTAGAAGCATCTGCCGCTCAGACCAGAGCCACCCCTCACGCCACCCCCCACTCGCTCGGCTGCCGGCCAGGTCGTTACTCTGCCTTGGAGCCCATTTGTGCACACCAGGGTTTCCTGTCAGGAGTCCCGTATCCTCAGCCGCGTCTGCCCACTGCTGCTAAGAGCTTTGTACCCTCTCAGACCAGCTCGGAGGGCATCAAGGCCGCTTCTGTAGCTTCAGGGCTTCACAGGACAGCAGCCAAGGGTCCGGGTCCTGCATCCTCATGCCCTCACAGTGACAAGGGTCTGCATGCCCTGTCCATCCCAGCACCACCTGGTCCTGCACCTTCAGGCGCTTGCATGCACAGTGGCCAGTGCTCTGTGCACTGAAGGGTCTATGAACTCCACCCATCTTGGAGCAAGTATCAGGCCCACAAACAGTGGCAGGGTGACCTGCGTGCCCCACCCATCCCAGCAGGTCCATGCATGGAAGCTGCTGGACGGCTGCACGCGAGGGACCCAGGTAACCTCACCAGGCCCCGTGAGTCCCAGACCCCCACTGCTGTTATCGGTGAGACCAAAGTGGCCTACCAAACTGAACACCAGAAAAAGGCCTTTGGGGCTGGTGCTGTGGCATATGGAGGCTTCCCTTATGGGCGCCAGTTTGAGTCCAGGCTGCTCCACTTCCCACCCAGCTCCCTGCTGATGGCCTGGGAGGGCAGTGGCAGATGGCCCAAGTGCCTGGGCCGCTGCACCCACATGAGAGACTGGGAAGAAGCTTCTAGCTTCAGATCGGCTCAGTTCCGGCCACTGTGGCCATTTGGGGAGTGAGCCAGCAAATGGAAGACCTGTCTCTCCTCTCTCAGTAAGTCTGCCTCTCAAAGAGAGAAATCTTAAAAAAGAAAACGCCTCCAATCCCTGATGGCCCCTTTCAAATGCGATAGAAACAACGGATATGCAGATGCACAAAACCAACATGGGAACACAAGAAGTATGAAGAAAACAAGGCAATACGCTCCAAAAGGAACAGAGCACTGCTTTAGTACCGGGCTACAAAGAAAGGGGGATGACAAAATGCTGGCTAAATCCAAAGGAATGATCATGAAGATACCTGGAGAGGTACCATACTGACAGAACCGAACAAATCTAGAGATGAAGAACTTAGTAAGTCAAATAGAAAATACAGCTGAAAGCCTCAACACCAGTCTAAATAAAGCAAACAAACAAGACAGGGACTCTGAAATACCCGAATCGGGAAAAAAAAATGAAGACAGCCTCTGTTATCTGTGGAATACCATTAAATACTGTCCTTTTAGTAGGGATTCTCGAGGGAGAGAAGAGTAAAGGCACAGAAAACCTCTCTATTGACATGATAGCCATTCATTCCCCAATCCGGATGGACAGATACAGACATCCAAATACAGAGGCCCACAGGACTTCACGTGGACAAGACCAGGAAAAAAAACACCACCACAACACGCTGTAGTTGAACTTCAAAAATGGTCACACTGCTGCTTGGGGTGCCTGCCTCCCATGTCCCAGTGCTGCTTTTCAACGGGGCCACCAGATGTGCCAAAATCTACAGAGGGGCACAAAAAAAACAGGAAAACAACAAGGCGATATGATGCTCCAAAGGAACACACTATTGTTAGTTTCAGGCTAACTTCTGGCAGATCCAGTTTCAGTGCCAACTACTTCACTTCCAGTCCAGCTTCCTGCCAACGTGCAGGTGGGGAGGCAGCAGGTGACGGCTCAAGTGCTTGGGCCCTGTCAGCCACATGGGAGACCCAGGTTGAGTTTTCCCAGGTTCCTGACTTCAGCTTGGCTCAGCCTTGGCTATCGTGAGCATCTAGGAGTGAACCAGCCACCAAAGACCTCTGTACCTCTAACATTCAAATAAAATGAAAATAAATAAAATGTAAGGTACGACACAGAATTCTAAATTGACAAAAGAGCCAGATCACTTCTAAGGGAATCCCCATTAGAGTAACAGCAGGTTCTTCATCAGATAGTGCAGAGGCCAGGAGGAAACGGAATGATGTATTCTGAGCGCCAAAAAGACAGACCGCCAGCCGAGAACAGTGAGCGCAGTGAAGCTAACCTCCATACCTGAAGGAGACACTCCACCAGAGCAGCTTCACCAAGACGCCTAAGGGTGACCATCCTGCAGACAGAAGCCACCATGGTGAAGACACGTGAGAGTGTAACCAGAACAAAGGACATCCGAAACAGGAGAAAGTGACAAGACGACACCATTACTATCAGGAGTAACTCTGAATAGAGATGAACTAAATTCCCCGACTGAAATCCACAGACTGGCTGAAGGGATTAAAAAAGTAAGACCCAGTAATACATTGTCTACAAGAAACTCACTTCACCAGTAAAGACACACAGACTGAAAGTGAAAGAAAGGGAAAACGTGTCCTGCACACAGACACCAAAGGTGAGGAGTGGCTCTGTGGATGTCACACAAAACAGACATTAAAACAAACTATAAAGAGAGAGACAAAGATGGTCCCCACATGAAGGGATCAGGTCAACGAGAAAACAGGATGACTGTGCAGTGTGTATGTGCCTAGTGCCAGAGCACCTGGTTTTATGGAACAGAGCAGCAGACCTACAGGGAGGGGTAAGCTGCACTATGACAACACTCCACTCTGGTCAATGAACTGATCCCTGAGAAGTCGGCAAAGATACAGCCGAGTTCAAGTGCATTGTGGGACACACAGACCTGGCAGACGTGCGCAACACTCCACCCACTGCAGAGGACAACTTCTCACAGCACAGGGAGCAGTTTCAAGAACAGAAATGTCGTGAGCCACAAAACAGGGTCCACAAATTTTCAAAAACGGTAATCATGTCTCTCCTCTGACCGTAACAGAGTAAAATTAGATATCAAAACTAGAAGTTACAAATACATGGAGACTGGACACGGTCCTGAATGAAGACTGGGAAATCTTAAAATGCCTGAAAACTAATGAGAATGAAACACACAGCATACCCAAGCTTAAGGAGCACAGCAAAAGCAGCACTGAGAGTACAGTTGATGGTAATAAACAACCACGTAGGAAGTGATACACGGGGTCGATGCTGCGGCGCAGCGGGTAAAGCCACCGTGTGCAGTTCGAGTCCCGGCTGCTCCACTTCCAATCCAACTCTCTGCTGTGGCCTGGGAAAGCAGTGGAAGATGGTCCAAGTCCTTGGGCCCTGCACCCACGTGGGAGACCTGGAAGAAGCTCCTTGCTCCTGGCTTTGGATCAGCCCAGGCTTGACCATTGCTGCCATTTGGGGAGTGAATCAGTAGATGGAAGACCTCTCTCTCTGCTTCTGCCTCTAACTCTGCCTTTCAAATAAATAAATAACTATTTTAACTGAAAGGGAGGAGACCTTTCCAACGCGTTCCCTGAGGCCAGGATTATCTTGCTCCCAAAACCAGACAAGGATACAACGGAAGAGAAAACCGAGGGATTCCAGTGCCTTGCAGTGCAGTGGGTGACGACTGCTCCCAAGGCGGTACCATGCTCTCTATAAAGAATGGCAACCGAGGAGCTGGTAAACTCTTAGCACAAGGCAAAATAAGGAGGACATGTTGGTGGTTTGGCGCATGGTCAGTTTATGCTAACATTCATGTACTGAAATGTTGCATTACACACCTGAAAATGTGCAAGTATTACATACAAACCCAAAGTTTAAAAGCTTTCAGATTCTTGTTTGAAGGATGCTGTAAAAATACAAACTTAAACTACTGACTGCCAAAATAAGCTACCTTAGATTAGCCTGGGGCTGGAGCTGTGGCTGGTGGGCTAAGCCTCCGCCTGCGTCCCATATGAGAGCTGGTTTGAGTCTCTGCTGCTCCACTTCTGATCCAGCTCCTGCTGATGGCCTGGGAAAACAGGGGAAGACGGCCCAAGTGCTTGGGCCCCTGCGCCCACGTGGGAGACCCAGCAAAAGCTCCTGTCTCCGGACTGGCCCATCGCCAGAGCTGTAGCCATTTGGGAAATGAGCCAGCAGATGGAAGACCTCTCTAATTGTGCCTCACTAATAAATAAATCTTTTTAAAAAGATTAGTCTGCATTAACAGAAACAAAGCATCCAGCACAGCAGGGGAATGGCTGTGGTTTTAAGGTAAAACTGAATTACAGGGCTCCATCAAGTTCAGTGGAAAATAACAGAATCCCTTATGAAGAAACAGCGATCTGACTTGGAAAAGACTGGCACACTGTAATGGGAGAAATGTGCGCGCTGTGCCACAGGAGCAAGACTCCTGTGTCACTCCTGTTAGAGTGACAGCAAAGGTGAGGCCCATCAGCTAGAGTGCCGGGGTAGGAGGAGCTTCCGAGGCCTCTGGGCTGGGCCGTGCCGTGTGGGCCGCGAGGGGCATGGCGGGGGAGCTGCACCCAGACCTCCTCTCGCCCACTTGCAGCCACAGAACTGTTCCTACCAGAGGCACAGGGGGCAGGGCATCATCTCAACTGGGGAACCCGGTTTCTGTATTTTGAAAACAAAGGCCAACTGATCATTCCAAAGGGAGCAGTTACTAGAGACTTTATTCACTTTTGCTAACTTGAGTATCTAGCTTCACATCTAGGTGGCCCTCATTCATTGGCTGGCTTTCCCCTAGGTAATGTCTCTGAAGACGCAGTAGTCCTTCCGTAAGGCCTCTCTGATTCTGAGAACGCCAGAGGAGCCCAGATTGCACCCTCGGTGACACACGCCTGCTGCACTGGAACCTGTGCTGATGCGCTCAGGTCTTAACAGGAGTTCTGCATTCCAGTGTTTGCCCTTGAGGGAGACAGATGGGCTACCATGATCTGTGTCGAAGGCTCCTGTAACAAAGTGAAGGTGTCAGTAGCCAGTCCTGGTGGGCAAAGTGTGTATTTAATAGACTCTTCCAGCACATTTCCCAGCTACCTGCCCTGCCCCTCCCTACCCCCGGGCTTCTCTGGGGGCTCCTTCCACAGGAAGCAGCAGATGAACGACAAGGTCTGGACCACGGCTGACGCGGGTCAGGCCTCGGCGTCTCCTGCCCCGTGCAACAGAGCAAGTGTTCTCTACACCCCCCGGGTCATTTTCTGTCATTTTCTTATATAAATTTAAATATTTTACAAAAAAGGCTTTTTCCTCCAAACATACAAATTTGAGTTAACGATTCCCCACCGTGGCCGCGTTGCTTCTCCGCAGTGGAAACGCCGACATTCAGGGCGCCGTCTCGTGAGCACGGATCGCCGTGGGCTGCTCTGGGGGGAAGGCACTTGTGTTTCCCGAGGTCTCCTGCTCCGTGCTCCAGAGCCCGTGCCGAGGCCCCGAGTGCCCACCACGAGGCAGCGGGGAAATGCTGCGGAAACGCGACTCTAGGATTATGCAAATACAAAATAAAACCGCACGGACCAGGTCCGAGTCTAAAGTCAAACTAGAAACAAAATCCAAAGTCTTCATTCATGAAGATCCAAGCCTGCTTCATTCTCATAAATTATAAAATACAAAGGTGGCTGTTTTAATGACAAAACTCAGAACAGTACTGGAAGGGGTCTGTGTCCACGTACAAAGCATCAGCCCCTCGGGGCGGCCCCCTCACTGCTGGGCCAGCAGTGCTGTCCTGTTGGCCTTCATCTTCTCCAGGCGCTTGGCCAGGTGGCTGTTGGTCATCTCCATCTCCTCGATCTTGTCCAGCGCCGTGCGCAGCTGCAGACAGAGGAGCGCGGTCACGTCACGGCCAGAAACAAGCCCCCTGCTGCCCTGCGTGCACGTGCGGTGGCCTGGTGCAGGCCCCACCAGCCTTGTGTGCTTTCTTCCCAGTCAGCTACGGGTGTGAAAACGACACAGAGGACTCTGCTCAAAGCACAGAAGTCAGAGAGACCTCATCCAGACAGAACTAAGGACTGCTTCTACCTAGAGCCCAGCTGTGCAGAGCCTGACAGCAAGTGTGTCCCCACCACCGCGTGACTCCACTGCTGCGGCCGCAGACGCCCCGGGCTGCATTTACTGTGCAGAAAGCCTTCCTTCCTGAGGACTTTCCTTCTAGGAACGCGTGCTCCAGGACGCACTAGGACAAGTACCTCTCGCTGCAGTTTCCGCTTCTCTGCTTTGAGTTCATCCTCCACTTTCTCAGCGTTCTCAGCCGCAGCTTTGTACCTCAGCACCTGGCCCTCGAGCCGGCTGACCTGCAGACAGGAGCACACGGACCGTCAGCCGTCACATTCTCGCAGCCCGAGGGAAACACGGTGTCACCCAAGTCCACATCATCTGACACAAGCCCTCACAGCCCGAGGGAAACATGGTGTCACCCAAGTCCACGTCATCTGACACAAGCCCTCACAGCCCGAGGGAAACACGGTGTCACCCAAGTCCACGTCATCTGACACAAGCCCCCCGCCGGTGAGTCTGCTATCTAAGTTAGGAAGTGTCCCCAGAGAGGAGCGCGAGTGTCCACTCTCTGTGGGCCGATTCCCCACGTTCAGTTCTAGGATGACCGCATGGTTGAAGGGACAGTAACGGTAGCAGGAAACTCACTGAAAGGAAACATTTTTAAACTGTGAAACTTAGACTAAGAAGTTCTCTCATAAACTATGAGCTTGAATCTCTTGGAAAACCTACAAAAACAATCCTAGTTAGTTTCCTATGTTCCCAGAGAAAATGGTAGGGTGCAGCGCCCTACCAGGTGCTCTGCGGGGTTTTTCTATGTTTATAATAGAGACAGAGCTTTGAGATGGCTTCTGTACGACTGCAAAGGCAGCCCACAGAAATCCAGGCACATAGAGGGTGAGCCACTTAGAAGCACGCAACAAATGCGTTTTAAAGGGAATTTAAATCACTTGGTATCACACAGAGGCAGTACTTACACTTTGCTCCAAGGTGGTTATATCCTGTTCTGCTTTTGAAAGCTTAAATTTGTATTCACTAATTTGTCTATTGGCATCTCCTAGAACAGAAAATAAAAATGAACAGTGGTCACGTCCCAGATACACCTGTGGACCGTCAGGTAGTGGTGCCCCCTGAGGCTCAGGGACGTGCACACACGACCAGGGAATACCATGCACACAGAACTCTCAGCCCTTCTGTTAGGTGCAGCCTGTGATACTGGCATCCATTGTGAGCGCTGATTCAATTCCTGGCTACTCCACTTCCAATCCAGCTCCCCTGCTAATGTGCCTGGGAAAGCAGCAGAGGTCCCTGCCACCCAGGTGGGAGACCCCCCAGAAGAAGCTCCTGGCTACTGGTTTTGGACTGGCCCAGCTCTGGCCATTAGGGGAGTGAACCAGGGGATGGAAGACCTCTAAGACAGACAGGAAGGAAGGGAGGAAAGGAAGAAGGGAGGGAGGGAAGAGAAAAGAGAAGAGAAAAGAAAAAAGAAAGAAAATTAAATTCATTCTTTACCCCAAGACGTGTAGGAGCAGAATTGGGACAGGGGCCTACCAGCCTTTTCTGCAGCCCTGTGGCCCACAGTGCCTCCAAGCCCGTGGGCCCCTGGTTCCCTGAACCCAGTCCTGTCCCTCCTGTCTCCCAGTTTTGTTTCTGCTCTCCCGTGCCTCAAGTGCCCTTCTACCTTATCTTGATTCTTAACTGATCTTCAAGGCCTTGCTCAATTTGTAGTTCCTCCATGACTCTCCTTAGTTAACTGTAACTTCACTTTCCCTTGTTAAATTTGTCTGCAATCTTCTTTATATTTGCCAGGCTTTTAAAATACTGTGTGTGTGTGTGTGTGTGTGTAAGGGCCCTGATTAGCCCTCCTACTCTGTACCCTGCCAAGTGCTTTCCACTAACATGTGACCAAATGTAATGAGTTGAGCTAGACAGCACTGGATGCATGATCTAACTCATCGTCACTACATGAGAAGTTCAGAACTCATGGAGATGTAATAATTCCCTCTAGAAATCCAAATCTAGCAAAGAGCATCCTCTGTAATAACTAGAGAATCATTAAGGCTTATAGGAAATAAACCAAATGTGACCTAACGAGAAATATTCAAATTAACACAACTTAAAAGTGTTTCTGCATTTCCACATGACCAAGATTACAACTACCCATGAATGTCATCTTCAGTACGAAGTTTTCCTAACTGGACATTTACTGTCACCCTACACGTAAGACTCGCTCCCCTAAAGCCTGCTCTGATAGTGAAGGGAACCATTCTTCAGATTTTACTTTTTAAATCTTACCCAAGTTAACCTATTGATTATCAAAATGTGCTGCTCCCTTCTCTCCAAACCACCCATTGCTTCCTGTTTTCAGAAGTGGAAGTCCCCTGCCTCAGTCATTTCTTTTTTTTTTTTTTTTTTTTTTTTTTTTTTGACAGGCAGAATTAGACAGTGAGAGAGGGAGAGAAGAAAAGAAAAAGAGAGAAAAGTCTTCCTTCCGTTGGTTCACCCCCCAAATGGCTGCTACAGCTGGCACTGCGCTGAGCCAGGTGCTTTTCCTGGTCTCCCATGGGGTGCAGGGCCCAAGCACCTGGGCCATCCTCCACTGCACTCCCTGGCCACAGAAGAGAGCTGGCCTGGAAGAGGGGCAACTGGGACAGAATCTGGCGCCCTGACCGGGACTAGAACCCGGTGTGCCGGCGCCGCAAGGCGGAGGATTAGCCTAGTGAGCCGCGGCGCCTGCCCATTTCATGTTCATTTTGAAACTGTTCCACAGCAGCGTGTGGAGCAGCCAAGGCACAGCCTAGAGCCACCAGCTGCCCGGGCCTCTTGGCTGGCCTCTGGTCTAAGGGGGCTGCTTACTCTGGTCCTTAGCAGTCAGGCACAGGCTTCTAGTCATGCCCAGCTCCCTGCTCCCCACTCCTCCCTCCTGCAAACAGCAGTCTTCCACAGGTAGCTACTCTAGGAGGCAGGCACACATGATTCAACTGTAATCTGCAAATCTACCCCAGGGGGTGGGCACAGGCCCCGGCTCCCACGTGGGAGATGTGCACGGAGCACAGGGCTCCCGGCTCCCACGTGGGAGATGTGCACGGAGCACAGGGCTCCCGGCTCCCACGTGGGAGTTGTGCACGGAGCACAGGGCTCCCGGCTCCCACGTGGGAGTTGTGCACGGAGCACAGGGCTCCCGGCTCCCACGTGGGAGATGCGCACGGAGCACAGGCCCCGGCTCCCACGTGGGAGTTGCACACGGAGCACAGGGCTCCCGGCTCCCACGTGGGAGTTGTGCACGGAGCACAGGGCTCCCGGCTCCCACGTGGGAGTTGTGCACGGAGCACAGGCCCCGGCTTCCACGTGGGAGTTGCACACGGAGCACAGGGCTCCCGGCTCCCACGTGGGAGTTGTGCACGGAGCACAGGGCTCCCGGCTCCCACGTGGGAGGTGCGCATGGAGCACAGCCTGGATTAGCCCCAGATGTTGCAGACACTGAGAGCCAGTGCACAGAAGATCTCAAACTCTCTTCTTGCTCTCGCTCTGCCTTTCAAGGAGATGAAAATAAACAAGCATTTCTAACATAAATCCCCCCCCCCCGCCTTCTGCCCGCCGCTGTGCTGCACCTGCTCACCGTCACAGCTTCTAGACCAGTCAGCCTGCCTCCTGTCATGTCCCTGTCTTCACCTCCCTCAACACTGAAATGGTATTTGAAAAAGGAACGTTCATCAGGAAAGTAAGCATCCAGAGGAAGTAGCAGTAACCTCAAAAGCAGTCATTAGTAAGTCATAATATGCTGTCTAAAGAAACACCTTTTTTTAAGGGGCATGTGTTTGGCCCGGCAATTAAGATGCTCCCATCCCATCCCAGAGTGCCTGGGTTCAAGTCTCAACCCCACTGCTAAGTCCAGCTTCCTGCCGGGAGGCAGCAAGGATGGGTCAAGGAGCTGGTTTCTGCCCCTGGTGAAAGACCCAGGCTGAGCTCCCGACTCCCAGCCGCAGCATGGCCCAGTCCCAGGGAGTAAGTCAGGAGACGGGAGCTCTCTCTGTCTCGGAGTTTTTTCTTAAAAACAAATAAGTAAATAAACCTTAAGGGAGGAAGTACTTTCTATTCAGCCTAACTCAGAATATCCAGATGAGGGGCTGGCGCTGTGGCACAGCGGGTTAACGCCCTGGCCTGAGGCACCAGCGCCCTATATGGGCACCAGTTCTAGTCCCGGCTGCTTCTCTTCCAGACCAGCTCTCTGCTGTGGCCTGGGAAAGCAGTAGAAGATGGCCCAAGTCCTTGGGCCCTGCACCCGTGTGGGAGACCTGGAGGAAGCTCCTGGCTTTGGATCGACACAGCTCTGGCCGTTGTGGCCAACTGGGGAGTGAACCAGCGGATGGAAGACCTCTCACTCTCTGCCTCTCCTCTCTCTGTGTAACTCTAACTTTCAGAAAAATAGATAAATCTTTTTTTAAAAAAATGCATCAAATACAAATAATAGAAGTTAAATGTGAAAGATTTAAAAAAAAAAAAAGAATATTCAGATGAAAAGGATACGGAGTAACCAAGATTTGAAAGTGGGTCACTGTTTAATTTGGAAAAGTATTCCCATCCATGAATTATCAAAAGCTATTTCTGTATGAAGGGCTGCTGCAGTCTCCCTCCTATGGAAAATTGTGTGACTACAATCAACATTTTTTTTTTTTTTTTTTTTTTTTTTTTTTGACAGGCAGAGTGGACAGTGAGAGAGAGACAGAGAGAAAGGTCTTCCTTTTTGCCGTTGGTTCACCCTCCAATGGCCGCCGCTGCAGCCGGCGCACCGCGCTGATCCGATGGCAGGAGCCAGGATCCAGGTGCTTTTCCTGGTCTCCCATGGGGTGCAGGGCCCAAGCACCTGGGCCATCCTCCACTGCACTCCCTGGCCATAGCAGAGAGCTGGCCTGGAAGAGGGGCAACCGGGACAGAATCCGGCGCCCCGACCGGGACTAGAACCCGGTGTGCCGGCGCCACAAGGTGGAGGATTAGCCTATTGAGCCACGGCGCCGGCTCTACAATCAACATTTAAAAATATAATATGGGGGAGAAAAACTGGAATAACTGGTGACTCTGGCCGTGTTTGAAATTCCATCCACTAAGGATGAACTGGGCTAAGGAGATACATCTAGGAAAATCCTGAAACTCCACGCAGTGTGAGTGAGTTGCAGACACACCCCTCCACTAGCCGAGCTGAATTCCACAGCAGCCCCTCCCTCACTGGGAGCGCCGCTGCAGGGGCCTGGAAGATGACAGACGCACGGCGTGGAGAAGACAGTGTCGGGCTGTCAGAGCTTCCCTGCTCACTAAGGTTCCCGGGGTAACTGCCCAAGGAGAGCAGAGAGTGAGCTCCTGCTCGCAGCCCCCGGAGCGCACAGGCCATGGCAGCTGTCTCTCCAGCCCAGCACCGGCCGATCCTCACAGCAGCTCCTCCTGAGGAGAAGGTGGCGCCCCCTGGGACAGGTCTGCCCCGCACCTACTCTGCATCTCGATCAGCTGCAGGTCAGAGCCGTTCTGCAGTCCCGCCAGCTCTCCGGCCGAGCCGTCGCTCCTGGAGCACTTCTGCCGTTCCTCCTCTAACTGCAGCTTCAGCTTCCTAACCTGAAATGCAAACACAGGTCATCAGCAAGCTCCAGTCTCAGAGGAAGCAGACGCATACCAGAGGGGCCTGTCACGGAACAAGGCAGATCTTCGTTATCGGCCACTCAGATTATTCAGTCACGCAAACCAGGTGCTAGAGGTAAGCTGTGGGCAACTATCCAAAGGAGTGAGCCCAAGAACCAGGGGTCCCAATAAAAGAATTACATTTTATTATTTGTAAATGTCTAGGGAAAAGCGCATCTTTGGGATACTGTTATTTTTAATGAAGATGACAAATTCCATGAGCAGTTAGATTTGGGGGGGTTCGTTTTAGAGATGGACTAAATACACATTTTTTAAAAAAAGACATTCACAGTCATCACGATGCAGCGGCTGAAGCCACCGTCTGCGATGCTGCCATTACAGATGAGTGCCAGCTCAAGTCAGAAGACCCCTAACTCTACCCCTTAAGGAAGAGTCACAGACACAGAGGTCTTCCATCCACTGGTTCACTCCACAGCTGCAATGGCCAGGCCTCGGCCAACTTGAAGCCAGGAGTCTGGAACGCCATCTGGGTGCCCTATGTGTGTGCAGGGGCCCAAACACTTGGGCCATCTTCTGCTGCTTTCCCAGGCCACAACAGAGGGCTGGATCAGAAGTGGTGCAGGCAGAGAGCTGGATCAGAAGTGGTGCAGCTGGGACTCAATCTGGCACTCACATGGGATGCCGACATCACATGCAGCAACTTAACTCAGTGTGCCAACCCCGACCTGAAACATACTTTTTCCCTGCACCTGCATGGGAGACCCGGAGGAAGCTCTTGGCCCTGATGGGTGCAGCTCCGGCCGTTGCGGCCATCTGGGGAGTGAACCAGCAGCTGGAAGACCTCTCTCTCTCTCTCTCCTCTCTCTCTGTTTCTACCTCTCCCTGTAACTCTTTCAAATAAAATAAAATAAATCTTTAAAAAATACAAGTTTATGTATACAGAAATAACTGCAAACACACAGATAGCTTTCCACTTCTGACCTCCACCAGGGGCAGAGGGCAAGCCTCAGCGCGAAGACTCACTCTGGCACTCCTCCCACAGGGAAGGAGTGAGCTCTGCTACATGACGCTCTCAGACATCTCTGCTCTCTAACACACACACACCGCCATCTGCCTTGGGGGAACCAGGACTCACCCTGTATCCCCGTCACCGCGATTTCTGTCTCGAAAGGGCCAGCCTTCCCTCCCTCACTCCTCCCACAGGCCCTGGACGGCTCCCACCCTTCGTCCCCTGGCCCTCCCCAGTGCCTGGAACCCTCGGAGGGATCAGCCCACCGTCCAGAGCTCCCCTCTGCACACTCCCTCCACCCCAGTGCTCCAGCCGAAACCTGTCTCCCCTTGGCATCCTGCGGCTGCTGCGCTCCCCCAGGCCTGGGCTGGCTTCTGTTCTAAGGCCACCACCTTTACTACCGAGCCTGCAAATGGAACAGATGTCCTCTTGCTTTCTCTGTGTCGCCGAGCCATGTCCCCCGCATCCCAAGTCCTACTTCCTAATCTCACCTCTTGACATCATAGAGACCACCTGCCTCCCACTGCCCTCCCACACACACACTGTCGCTTCCCACTGGTACTGTCAAGACATCCTACCTGACTTAGTTCCTGGCAATTTCAAAACACACCTAAGTAGAGGATCTGTCCACAGCTGACAGCCTTGCCATCTAGCCCTTCTGCCCTCAGCCACTCACTCCCACAGTGCGTCCCTACACAGCCGATTTCCCACACGGTCATCTCTGAAGTCAGCGCTCACTCCCTCTGGACCCAACCACCTCTCCGCTCCAGCAGTACCTCTCACCCAGGGGAGCCGCCTTCTTCCCACTGTGCCGGGATGCGTTCCTGCCTGTCCCCCCAACCCTCTCGTCCAGGCCCGTCCTTACTGTCTCTCACTCCCCCTCCTCATGCAGGCCCGTCCTTACTGTCTCTCTCACACACACTCCCCCTCCTCATGCAGGCCCGTCCTTACTGTCTCTCTCACACACTCCCCCTCCTCATGCAGGCCCGTCCTTACTGTCTCTCTCACACACACTCCCCCTCCTCATGCAGGCCCGTCCTTACTGTCTCTCACACACACTCCCCCTCCTCATGCAGGCCCGTCCTTACTGTCTCTCTCACACACACTCCCCCTCCTCATCCAGGCCCGTCCTTACTGTCTCTCTCACACACACTCCCCCTCCTCATGCAGGCCCGTCCTTACTGTCTCTCACACACACTCCCCCTCCTCATGCAGGCCCGTCCTTACTGTCTCTCTCACACACACTCCCCCTCCTCATGCAGGCCCGTCCTTACTGTCTCTCACACACACTCCCCCTCCTCATGCAGGCCCATCCTTACTGTCTCTCTCTCTCACACTCCCCCCTCCTCACCCAGGCCCGTCCTTACTGTCTCTCTCACACACTCCCCCTCCTCACCCAGGCCCGTCCTTACTGTCTCTCACACTCCCCCTCCTCATGCAGGCCCGTCCTTACTGTCTCTCACACTCCCCCTCCTCATGCAGGCCTGCCCTTACTGTCTCTCTCACTCCCCCTCCTCACCCAGGAGCTCAGAACTCAACCCAGGACGCCCATGTGGGTGGTGGGAACCCAGCATGTGGGCCATCACCACTGCCCCTCCTAACGCAGGCTCCCGCCTTAGCAGAGTCGGCACTGCCCCGGGTGCTCCCGACGTGGGACGCGGGCGTCTAAACAGGCGTCCTAACACGATGCTGAACACCCACCCAGGATTTTCAATCTAGCTGATTTATTCACTGCAGTCGGCCAAGTGCCTAGAACACTGCCTGTTAAAGTAGAATCTTAATCAACACTTGTTGAATGACCAAACAGCAGTTCCAGAGAGAAGTAACAGAGCACAGGAGAAAAATCAGGAACAAAATCATTCCAGGGACTGCCCCAGAACTGAAGGACAAGAGTTCCCAAAACTGACAGGGCCCAGCGCCAAGCATGGAACCTGCAACCACATCACTGTGCGATTCTGGAACACTAGTGAGACAAGACGATAGGATAGAAGCTTCCAGAAGGGGGAAAACAGGTCACATCCAAAAGCTCAGGAATTTAAAATGTCCTTGAAATTTTCAACAGTCATACTAGAAGCAAGAGGACCATGAAGAAATGTCCTCTGAAGGAAAAATGACCACAACCCAGAATCCTGTAGTCAGCCGGACGATTACCCGGGGGAATGTGAAGAGCCTTCCAGGCCTGCAGTCCTGAGACTCACAGCCCACGTGCCCGTTTCCCAGGAAGTTCCTGGAAGCTGTACCAACACGAGAATAAACAGGGCGTAACGGTGAGGAGGGGGAAGCGAACCTCAGTCCCAGGCAGGAGAAACCCCTGGGTGCCCACAGTGATGCCACCCACCCTGCACCAGGCAGGCCGTCAGTCTGAGCGGGAGTCAGCTGCTCCAAGACGCAACACCCGGGACCAGCAGAATGACCGGATGCCTCGGCAGACATCAGGCGGATGGAAGCTGCTGCTGCCGCCTCTGCGGTGAGTGAGTGGCGTGCAGGTGGAGCACCAGGCAAGTGGAAAGACGGTGTTCACCTCACAGAAAATGAGTGATTGTGAAGGAGGAGAAAGGCGGCTCAGAACGCAGGACGGCTCCCCTAGGAGCTGGCTGAAAAGTTCTAACGACATACACAGCCTGGAATGGCACTTCCTTCATTAGCAGCAGAAGGCAGCGGGAGAGACACATGGCAGGGATCGGAGAGGAAAGACGGCTAAGCTCGTCTCCCCAGAGGGATGTCCACAGAGAATGCCCGAAACACAACAGTCACGTTCCAGAGTTACCCGAGGACGGCACACACCCAGAGAATCAGACTAAGGAATGGAGCAGGCATGGTCAGGGGGACGGAGAAGGATCCCTCCAGGAGGCTGCTGTCTTCACAGCAAACTTGGCAGAACCACAGAAGTTATTAGACTGAACATCTTTAAATTTAACAAACGGGAAGCAAAACAAGAATTTTTTTATCCTTTAAATCTCACTCGAATATCAACGTTTGAAATAAGCACAATTCTTTCTAAAAAACATTTCAGTTGGCCAACATTTTACAATATAATGTCATTAAACTTAGTATTATCTCCGAGTAAGAATCTTCTTACCTGTGACAGTAGCTCCTCCTTTTCCCCAGCAAGTTTTCGTAGCCTTACATCTAAAACAAATGTAAAAGGTTGTGAACTAAATTTGTAATGAAGAATAAATTTGTATGAAAAATAATTCTTCAAATTCATAAACAGCAAGTATTATCTGATCAGTTACATTACAGCTCTGAATATCAAAGAAATAAAGGCTCTAATGCAATTACAGAGGAATACTTAATTTGTTGGGGCACCAAATACATTTGCTCCCCAAAACATTTTCCCACTTTCTTAACGACAAGCCAAAGTACAAAAGAGAGAAGCTTCGTGTTTTAAAAATCTGCATGCTTTCACCAGCACGCAGGCAACTCAAATGCCATGGGTGCCGTCCCAAGCTCAAGCCCTCCCTCACTCAGCGAGGGCAATCAAAGCACTTGAAAGTAGACAGAGGGGACCGGAGCTGTAGCAGGTAGGGCCGCTGCCTGCAGGACCAGCATCCCATTTGAGCACCGGTTCAAGTCCCGGCTGCTCCTCTTCTGATCCAGCTCTGCTATGGCCTGGGAAAGCAGTAGAAGATGGCCCAAGGCCTTGGGTCCCTGCACCCGCGTGGAAGACCCAGAAGAAGCTCCTGGCTCCTGGCTTGGATCAGCGCAGCTCAAGTTGTTGTGGCCCATTGGGAAGTGAACCAGCAGATGGAAGACCTCTCTGTCTCTCCTTCTCTGTCTGTGTAACTCTTTCAGATAAAGAAATCTTAAAATAGATAAATAAATAAAGCAGACAGAGGGTGGGAGTGGGACAAGGCACAGGAAGAAGAGGGAGCTGGACTAAAGAAAACAGAGGAATACAACGCTGCAAATGGCCAAGTCCCACAAAGCCAGCAGAGGGAGGGGGGGGGACCGACTCTCCGATGTGGTCCAAGGGCGAATCTGAGGTTTGGAAGCAGGACGCTGAGGGTTGGCTCCTGGCCTGTCAGACGAAAGGGTTGCTTCTTCACAAGCCTGCATTAAAATAGGCCCCCTGGGCTGAGCAAACACCAGGAGTTCAGTTAAAGCAGCAGCTGACACTTGGCCAACCAAGCCCCACCACCAGTCAGGATCAGGGCCAAAGTGAGTCTGGTTTCTCCGGCATCTTCCACACATGGAGAGGTCCACTCTCTAGCTCCCTCGCGCTCGGCACACTCTCTGCTTCACTGAAGCGCTCTACAGTCAAACTTCAGGATTGAGCACATCACAGAATGTGCCTGCTGACTTTTCAAATGGTTTTCAGCCTCCACTGTTAGTGTCTCATACGCCTCCAGGCAACCTATGCATACATGAACACGAGCTGGGGAAGACTGCTTCTTCATAAACAAAAGTGAGGTGATGACACAGTATCTGTGTCGTTTTTCTTCCTCTGGTGTAGGGTCCTGGGCTGCAACGGTTGGCCCCCTTTGTGGCTGACAGGGGCAGCTATCATTAGACCCCAAAAGGGTTGGATGAGAGGCTAAGAGGCTTAGACTGTCACAGGCTTAGAAACCGTGTTCTGGATGTCCCACTCCTCTGACGTCTGTCTTCCTGTCCTCTGTTTTGTGCATTAAGAAATGTGCAGGCAAAGGGCTACAGAGCTCTGGGGTACGCAGTGGAAGAAGACATTTAAAACACACATGCGAAGGGTTCTGCCAGCCCACTGCTTCCCTGGGACGGGAGTGCTAGACGGTCTCTGCAGGAAGTCTGCAGAAGCGAAAAGGCAGTTCATGTAAACCCACGGTGCTTCTGCCCAGAGGACCCACAGCCACAGTTACCGGGACCCAGGTGCTACTTCCCCAAGGCCAAAGGTGCTAGTGCCCAGATTCTTCCAGTGAAGCGTCGAGGTCAGTCTCAGGCCTTGCGCTGTCTGCGTTTTCCAAGCTGGGATGTTGACAACAAGCTGGAAGCCCGACAGGGCGACATTAACCCAAGTCACCAGAACAGGCAGTGTCTTACCTAGTGGCCCTTCGCCTGCTGACTCCAAGACCTGAGCAGCTTCCTGAGACACAACGGTGATGGCTCCAACCACTGGTTCGTGATTGACATCACCATTGGGAGTGCCATCGGGAATTATAACTAAGCCATGTTTCTGTGGGAAAGAAAAAACCCACCATCACAAACGATGCGCACGCCAAGCAGTAAGCGCTGTGAGGTCACTCTGCAACAACACACGCTTGCCACAGCACAACCTGCTTAGAATCGGCATGTGAAGAAGAGCTCTGCGGAAAAACACGCTCCTACCAGGTCTGAACGGGGGAACAGGCTGCTGGTGGACTGGCACGAGAGACGCCAGGACGAGAGAAGACAGACAGAGGACAGCTGCGGGCTCATGCTAACGTACCTCTCCGGTCTGCACTGTCTCCCGCAGGTCAGCCAGCTCCTCTCGGAGCGCATCGCGCTCATCCCTGAGGCAGGCAGCGTGTTCCTTCTGTTTCTCTAGGGCCTGGTTTCAGGCGGGGTAGCGAGGGAAAGAATGGCACAGAAAAGAGCAAGTGAAAGGTAACTAATTCCAACCAGCAGAGACAAGGGCATCAAAAAGCAAGGAAGCAGTTACAGCTTGGAAACCAGCAGTCAGGGAGAGAAGAAACACAGAAGAGTCTACACATGAAGTGGTCCTCGTGCAGCAATTTGGTAAGAACAGGTTCCCTTCCAGTCATTAAAAAAATTTAAAGCAAAAGGAAGATGAACAAAGTAGCAAGAGTTAAAAGTATTCCCTTACTGACCTCCTCAGCACATTTTCACTTGGTGAACAAAATATGTTATGTTTAAGTAAAATCACTTATTCAAGAATATACCTGATTTAAAAAAAATTAGAGATTCAGGGGAAAATAGTATATACAAGGTATTTTAATTAAATATTGACTGTATGATTATATGCAAATACTACAGCAAAATACTCAAATACCAATTAATTTAAAATAACTCCTCTTCAAAAGGATTCTCAAGAATCTACTTCTGTGAATTTAGTTAAATACAATTAAGATTCACTTGGTTTTCTGATACATTTTCAAATTTTGAAAAACAAAAACAAAATGAATAGAGCCCAGCTGTGGCGGGGACAGATTATGGGTTTTAGTGTCAAGATCTCGGTCCTGGCACATACTTAGTTCAGCCATGCCTCCGTGTCCTCATTTAAAAACCAGAGGGCAACACGAGCACCATCCCACGGCCAGAGGCTGAGAGGTGGACTCAGCACAATCATTGCCAGAGTGCCCCAGACAGCAGGGAAGGCTCAGGAAAAGCAGGCTGACGTTCCCAGCTGTAAAGTTCCCGACACGGGGGCAGAATTTAGGCCTGCGGCTAAGCTGGTTCGGGCACCCACGCCCCACGTCAGAGCTCCTGACTCTACCTTCCTCCTAATGCAGGGCCTGGGACGCAGCGCTGATGCTTCGAGTACCGGAGTTCTCAGCACTCACGTGGGAAAGCTGGAACAAGTCCAGGCTCCCGGGCATCTGGGGAGTGAACCAGCGGACGGCAGCACTGCTGCTCACACACCCTACCACTCAAATCAAAACAAACTAAGCAAAAAACACGAGAATTCCCTGCACGTCCTCATCCCACAACTGCTGGGCTGAGGAGGACAGTGAGGCAGGAACATGCTTTGGTGATCCGTGAGATATCAGTTTCCTTTGATTATGTGATAAAATATCCACACTTCAAACCATGCCAAGCAGTGTGTGCAGGAATCTGACAGCTGAGCTAGTATATTTTTCATATACTTAATCTTTTCTGCCAGCATTTGCAATAAGTCAAGATGAACTACAACAAGTAACTTTTCTCTGTCGATGACTGGGTTTAGAAGTGGGGCAGGGACGGTGCTGTGGCTTAGCATATAGAGCCACCGCCCGTGACACCAGCATCCCATATGAACACTGGTTCTTGTCCTGGCTGCCCCTCGTCTGATTCAGCTCTCGGAGAACGTGCCTAGGGAGAGCAGCAGTCATCCAAGGGGGAGGCGCAGATGAAGCTCCTGGCTACTGGTTTTGGCTTGGCCCAGCCCTAGCTGTCCTGGCCACTGGGAAGTGAACCAGTGGATGGAAGGAGTGTGTGTGTGTATGTGTGTCACTCTTTCTCTCTGACTCGGCCTGTAAAATAAATGCATCTTTAAAAAAAGGACAACTGCTTCATTAACTGACAGCTGAATAGTTGAATATTTTAAAATATCATTACAATCATTCTGCAACCAATTTGAGAATAAACAAAGAAGGAGTGGTAACAAGTACCACGTATGTGGCATAAATTATATCACAGACATAATATATGTCTGTATCATATATATCAGATACAATTTCTCCCTTACACATATCACCTCCTTGACATTTCCTATAATGTACTACTATGTCTTATCCTTATTTTACAAACTGGAAAACTGAGACTGAAAAAGACGAATTTGTTTGTTTTTGTCCAAAGTCACAGTAAGTTTTAGAAATGCCAGAAAATTGATCCAGTTAGTTTTGGTTTCAAAGCTCGTGCAAACAGTTTTTTATATCCAGTCCCACGAAGGCTGCATCATGTTCCTATCAGACCAGCTGATGGTGGAAAAAATAGTCCACAGGGTGAGTCCCCTCTTTCCTTATCCAAACCACAAGGTCAACATCTAATGTCCTTTCCATGATTTATTTTCACACCGTTGGATGTGTCTCAGGTCTGCTTGCAAGCTAATAACTGGAGTTTCTGGCATAGGCATTTACTCTAAGACGTCACTGTAGCTGGCGCCGCGGCTCACTAGGCTAATCCTCCACCTTGCGGCGCCGGCACACCGGGTTCTAGTCCCGGTCGGGGCGCCGGATTCTGTCCCAGTTGCCCCTCTTCCAGGCCAGCTCTCTGCTGTGGCCCGGGAGTACAGTGGAGGATGGCCCAGGTGCTTGGGCCCTGCACCCCATGGGAGACCAGGAGAAGCACCTGGCTCCTGCCATCGGATCAGCATGGTGCGCCGGCCGCAGCATGCCAGCCGCGGCGGCCACTGGAGGGTGAACCAATGATAAAGGAAGACCTTTCTCTCTGTCTCTCTCTCTCTCACTGTCCACTCTGCTTGTCAAAGATAAAAAAAAAAAAAAAAAAAAAAAAAAGACGCCACTGTAGCTGTGAGATTCCACTACATTAATAACAAAGAAAACACCTGCAGAACAAGGCAGAGTACTAGACCACCCACTGACACTACGTTCCTCTCCGCTGGGTTAGATATTCCTGGTTATTGACAGCGGCATGCGCTCACGCCATGCACCACCACACCACAGCATGCTCGCCATGAAACAACACCATGACATGCAAAACACCTCTAAAGCAACAAACCAACGTGAAACTAAGAATTCCAGCAAACGCCACGGCATATTTGCTCTTCTTCCACATCTTATACCACTGGGTTTTATTTTTACTCTTGAACTTTTTAATTTCATCTTCCCAAAATCATAGATGGGAAAACAAAATATATCCTATGAATCTGCCCAGTTTACCACAAAGTCTGAAGAGTACTAAAATGCTTTATAATCTGAAAGCCTCTGTATTACCTGACCATATAACTATCATCCTTCTGTTTGTATGCAACAATAGTTCCTACAGTAATTTTTTTAGGGCAAAAAGTATATGTTTGTGGAGATCTAAATAACTTTATCCTTGACCCAACCTCAAACACTACATCAAAGACACCAAAAGGATAGACACAATGGGCTGAGCTTTGGGGCAATAGGTTAACCCTCCACATAACTGCATTGGGGCACAAACATCTTAGTCACAAAGTTTATGCGGGGCCAGCGCTGTGGCATGGCAGGGAAGCTGCTGCCTGCAGGGCCGGCATCCTAGCTGGGCACCGGTTTGAGTCCCGGCTGTTCTGTTTCCAATTCGGCTCTCAGTTATGGCCTGGGAAAGCAGTAGAAGATGGCCTAAGTCCTTGGGCCTCTGTACTCATGTGGGAAAACCCGGAGGAAGCTCCTGGCTCCTGGCTTCAGATTGGTGCAGCTCCAGCCGTTGTGGCCAACTGGGGAGTGAACCAGCGGATGAAGACCTCTCTCCCTCTCTTTTCCTCTGTGTGTTACTCTTTCAAATAAATAAATAAATCTTTAAAAACAAAAAAAGAGCTTAGGGTGCACCTCACAGATAAAAGTCCTTCATGCTCCCCTTTTTATGGGCACCTGCTGCTCAAACTGCCACAGAGCTGCAGGCAAGACCCCTGAGTTCAGTGAAGGAAGAACTAAGCAAAACTGAACTTCAGTCTGGAAACAGACATGTTTCTTCATTTAATCTTCACTAAATTTAGTCTTAAAAATTATACTAAAGACAAATGATGCAGTCGGGGTGGGGAACCTTTTTTCTGCCAAGGGCCACTGGACATTTATAGCATCATTCATGGGCCACACAAAATTACCAACTTAAACACTAGCCGATTAGGGGCTAGCATTGTGGTATAGCATCCCATATGGGTGCTGGTTCGAGTCCCTGCTGCTCCATTTCCCATCCAGCTCTCTGCTGTGGCCTGGGAAAGCAGTAGAAGATGTTCCAAGTCCTTGGGCTGCTATGCCCACATGGGAGATCTGGAAGAAGCTCTTGGCTCCTGGTTCAGATCGGCACAGTTCTGGACATTGCATCCATTTGGGGAGTGAACCAACAGATGGAAGATCTCTCTCTCTCTCTGCCTCTACCTCTTTGTAACTCTGCCTTTCAAACAAAATAAATAAATAAATAAACAAACAAACAAACTAGCCTACTATAGATTTATGGAATTTTGAGTCCTGGCTAAGGCTGCTGTGGCAGGGCCTTATAGGGCCTGCGGGCAGCTGCTCCCCATCCCTGCAGGTAGTCACTGACCATACTAAAAATGTGTCTTTTAAATGTCAAAATGGGGGCTGGCACTGTGGTACAGCAGGTTAAGCTGCTGCCTGCAACACCAGCATCCCCTATGGGCACCACTTCATGCCCCAACTGCTCCACTTCCAATCCAGCTCCCTGCTAATGTGCCTAGGAAAGGAGCAGACGATGGCCCAAGTACTTGGGCCAATCACTCATGTGGATAGCCCCATGAAGCTCCTGGCTCTTGGCCACTGCAGTCATTTGGGAAGTAAATCAGGAAATGAAAGATCTCTCTATCCCTATCACTGTCACTCGGCCTTTCAAATAAATAAAACTTTAAAAAAAACTGTCAAAATGAAAAATGGTTAAAATAACATTCTATGTCACCTTAGCACAATTTTTTGAATTCAATAAAAAGGGAGGTATAACCTATCAATACAAACAACGTGGATGGATCCTGAGAGGGCTTAGGCTGTGATAAAGCTAATTCCAAAAGGTTATGTACTATATGACTGCATTTGTTTAACATCCTTAAAATGTAAAATTATAGAAACAGGGAGCAGACTCATGGCTCCCAGGGCTTGGGCATAGGGGTAATAGACATGGCTATAAAAGAGCAAGGGGAAAGATCTCTTATGATGACGGAAATGTTAGTTGCCTATATCAAGGTCAATGTTCCAGCTGGGACACTGTACTACAGTTTTGGAAGATGCTACATTGGAGAAAACTGGGGAAACAGTATGCAGGATCTCTCTGTATTATTTCTTAGTGACATGAAATCCTAAAATTTTCTCCAAAGCATTTAATTTTTAAAAGTTAAAAGGACACATTATTGTGTAACATATAAAATAAAGATACCCTAAATAATTTATACCTTAACCATAAGCATACCCTTTTAATAGCCCCCCCCACACACACACACAAAAAAAAAAACCCACCTGTTTCTTTAGCATAGTTACTTTATTGGACTGAAGGTCCTAGGGGTTTCCTATGGCTGTCCAAGTACTAAGAAAACGGCACTCACTACAACTGCTGGACCTGCAGATCTGTGCTACAGGAAGCTCCCTGTTCCAGGCAGTGACTCAAAGCGCCTCCTTTCACTCACACACTCATTCACATCTCTCTTCAAGCTCCCCAAGCGGAAGCGTGAAGTAGCATCAGCAGTTCACAAGCACAACTTCACCATGCCCAGCAGAGCTGTCACGAGGCCCCAGCCGGCCTCTCTAGATTTGGGTGGGACTTTACAGACTCAGTAAGCACCAGATAAACACAGAGCAGCTTCAGTTCTTTAAATTTGGGACCGGCGCCACAGCGTAGTAGGTTAATCCTTTGCCTGCGGTGCCAGCATCCATATGGGCACTGGGTTCTAGTCCCGATTACTCCTTTTCCAGTCCAGCTCTCTGCTGTGGCCTGGGAAAGCAGTGGAGGATGGCCCAAGTGCTTGGGCCCCTGCACCCGCGTGGGAGACCAGGGAGAAGCTGGTAGCTCTGCCCATTGCGGCCCTTTGGGGAGCAAACCAATGGAAGGAAAACCTTTCTCTCTATCTATCCTTCTCATTGTCTGTAACTCTCCCTCTCAAATAAATAAATAAAATCTTAAAAAAAATAAATTTGGGGCTCTAAGAAGTAATGTGTTTTTCCCATTTGTTAGTGAGTGCAGGGTCCTTGGATACCGGCTGCCCTTGGCTGTGTGGTAGGGAGCCCCTGACGAGGGCGGGCGTGACCCAGAGGGTTCCTGTGCAGGCCTCTCTCGGGGTCTCATGGGGATCCTGGCCACATCCTCTAGCCACCTGGCAGAACAAGACTCTCTTCACATGCCCTGAGCCCTCACCACAGGGGAGGTCTCCGGCCGCTGGGACTGAGTGCTGCCCTCGTGCAGCTCAGAGCCTCGTGCCAGTCAAAGGCCACAGGAGATGACTCGGGACGTTTTCTGAATCCACCAGCAGAGCTTAGCAAAAAAGCAACGAAGACTTTTTCCTTATCTAGGCCCCGTGTGGGAGCTCTGCGGCTATAATTGGAGATTATGTCACTATCTGGCAACTTCAGCGAGTCTCACATTCCTATCCACTTCCATAATTAAACCGATTTTAATCCCTTCCTACTTTATTCACCAGAATCCAGAGGATACTTGGAACTTTTCCCCTGCCCCTACTCCCTATCTTCTAGCTTCTCATCCAAATTCTTGCGACAGAAGAGTATCACGTTACCCAAGGAGTTAGAATTGAAATGCCTGTGTCTGCTTCGGAGTAAGAACCCTAGGGGAATAGAAAATCGCCTCTAACAGTCCCTACACGTGGGCTTCATGAGTCCAGAGTCGGCTGGAAGAAGAGTGCCTGAGGCAAAGGCTCGGGTTTTCCCACGGAAGCCTCGTTCTGTGCCCTGCACTTCACACCGTACAAATACACAATGATAGATATTTCTGGAACCTCTAAATTAAACTCTACTGTTTCTTCTTCATTAGTGTGCTTCTAACCAAAGCCCAATTTCATCTCATACCCCAATTATTTTATCTTTCCAAAGAAGTGTCTCCTGGAGCTCAAACACCTCTTTTGTCATGGTGTCTAGTTTTTGCTGCATGCGCTGCTTCTCCTGCAGAGGAAGAGGGAAGAGAAGTAATAAAAGAGCAGAAAGAAAAAAGGCTGGAAAACGGAACAAAACTGAAGCTTATAAAGAACCTCAACACAAAGTCTGATGAGCGGGAAGATCAAGAGTGGTGTGCCCAAAGCAAGACGACACCAAGAGTGCTGGCACGTGACTGGTGGGATAGCTCCCACCACGTCAGCACAGGCCTGCCCAGAGTGCTGGCACGTGACTGGTGGGCCAGCTCCCACCACATCAGCACAGGCCTGCCCAGAGTGCTGGCACGTGACTGGTGGGCCAGCTCCCACCACATCAGCACAGGCCTGCCCAGAGTGCTGGCACGTGACTGGTGGGCCAGTTCCCACGACGTCAGCACAGGCCTGCCCAGAGTGCTGGCACGTGACTGGTGGGCTAGCTCCCACCACGTCAGCACAGACCTGGGAGTGGCTTTCCTGACCACAGCTCGTGGCAGCAAGCCAGCGAGGGCTGCTGCGTGCACACAGCTCCACATGTGTACTGCTCTTTGATAACTGCCTTTTTTTCCAAACATGAAACAAGTGAACATTTTTAGAGAGGGAAATTTAGGTTTGCTTGTGAAGAAATAATCCTTTTTACAGAGAACAGAAATAGGTTTCAGTTTTATATTTTTAAACAGACCTAAAAATCTATAAGACAGACATATATCAAACTGATCATTTTGAATTTCTACTAGCAAACTCTATAATAGCAAAAACATCACAGATTATTTATAGGAACTAGAATTTAACAATTAATAATTCTTAAGGAACTTTTCAGATTAGGCAATGATACCCTCTTAAATGTAATAGGTTTTCTTGTTCGTTACTGGTAAATTACATATCTTAGTTTCACTAATTATGCAATATCTAGTGTATCATGTAATTCTCAATTCAAAAGAAAAGGCATTATTTGTGATATTCAAGGTTTTACAGTTATGTACAATCATATGAATTCTAAACATAAAAAACTAAGATTTTTAAAGTTTGCATAACAACACCAGGGCGTTTAAAGAAACCACAATGACAAATTAAGAGAAATCAAGCATTACAACCCTATTAAATACAATTACCAACTAAAAAACTAGGAAGCAGTACCCAACGCAGCTTTTTATTCTTTCGAAAGGGGGAAAGTGATACCTTAATTAGAAAAAGAGATAAGAACAGTTGAGGGTCCAGAAGCTATGGCGTCGCGGGTAAAGCCGCTGCCTACAGTGCTGGCATCCCATATGGACGCCGGTTCGAGTCCTAGGTGCTCCACTTCTGACCCAGTTCTCTGCTGTGGCCTGGGAAAGCAGAAGATGGCCCAAGTCTTTTGGCCCCTGCACCCGCGTGGGAGACCAAGAAGAAGCTCCTGGCTCCTGGCTTCAAATCAACTCAGCTCTGGCCACTGCGGCTAGTTGGGGAGTAAACCAGCAGACGGACGATCTCTCACTCTCTCTCCCTTTCTTTCTCTCTCTCTCCCTCCCTCCCTCCCTCTCCCTCTCTCTCTCTCTTTCTCCCTTTCTCGCTCTCTCTCTCTCTCTGTGTAACTCTGACTTTCAAATAAATAATCTTAAAAAAAAAAAAAAAGTTGATATTCTGACACAAAAAGAGACAAGGCAAAAAGGGAAAAGATTTCAGATTATTTTCAAATATCAGCAGGCTGCAGAATTTGGATAATATGCTTCTTACCATGTATGGAAAACTAGGAAAACGTGTACTCTGTGTTTTACATTTCAAATCCACAAATTCTGGCTATGTTCAGTTTTTCTTGAAAATTATGAAGATAACACCAATCCACAAATTAAAAAACAATCATTTCTTCTTTTCTATAAAAGGGTTTTCAAAGTCATTTACAGGGAAGAGATTTAATAAGGAAGAGGAGAAGAGAGCCAAAAGGGGGGCTGGGGTCACAGCAGCCCGCAGTGTGGGCAAGCCCCTCCTCCCCGGGCCTTCCTGCCTTCACTGGCACACGTCCACCCTGACGGAATGGAAGATGGCCTTGACAACCATACCTAGATAGAAAAACGACTTTCATATTTATTAAAAAAAAAAAACAAACACCACCTTAAGAGGGAAAACACTGACAGTACAGAAATGCACGCTAGGCGGTGGGTCCACAGGACGACACTTGCGTCCCCGGTGCTGGTGGCTGCCTCCCTCCCCTGCAAAGGTGCGACAGCGGGGCACCCGGAGCCCTGAAAAGGCACAAGCGAAGCTCCACGCTATCCAGCCTGCGCTTTCTGGTTCAGCAGGCCGGAGGTGCTCTGACAATTTCACTTTCATTGAGCCACCTGAAAAATGTATCTGAGTGAAAATCGAACTAAGTACTTGCACAGAATCATGTCCCCAGAGATGGTATTCACTATGTTCCAAAGGACAGTGCTGCTTTCTACAATTTTTCCTTTTGCCCGTTTCCTAAAATAGCTTAGAATGCACTTACGGGAAAAAAAGAAAAACACTTAAAAAAAACTCTGCTATTCATGGGTAAAACGTACACAGGGTTCATAGAATGAACTGTTTAAGCCTGCTTCTATGTTTAATGTTTACAAAATGTTTTAATTCAGTCAAGTGTGAAGAAACCAACTCTGGCATTTTGAGTTTCCCTTTCCAACACCGACGCCTCACCCGTTCAATGCCCTTTCCTCAGAATTATTTCCACGGTCACGGACATACCTCGATCAGTTCATCTCTTTGCCGGAGGCCTTCTTTAAGTTCATCCATCTTATGCTGCAGTATGCTGCACATGTGTTTCTGGCGTTCTAATTCCTGTTGGTAAACAAATGACAGTTCGCAGAGGTCACGGCATACCACATACAAATCGACAGGAAAGCTAAATATCACCTCCAGAAATGAACCCAGCAGCTGACTCACGTAACTCAGACTGTGGAGTCGATGGAAAGCCTCAGAAATTGTGTAATTTTTAACTTATATAGGGAATACAAGAAAAAAAAAAAAAGCAAGGGAAAGGAGAACAAACTACAGAGGTACTTTAAAGAAAAAAGAGGAGTAACCAGAGGTAGGGAAACTTTACTAAAAAATGATTGAAAATTCCATGAGCAATAAGGGAAAGTGGTAATAGACGACAGAAAAACTGAAACTTTTGAATGGCAAAAGATAACGCAATCAAAGCAAAAAGACAAATGAGAAAATGCAAAAAAGAAATAAGTTATCAGAGACAAAAGTTTCCATCTCTCCATAGACACACCTCTAAAATAAGAAGAAAAACTCAAGCTTTATAAAGAGGAACTGGCTAAAGAAATGGATAGCTCACAAGAAAAGAAATGGAAACAGCTCAGACGTGAAAAAATGCTCAAATCCAGAGAAATACACACTAAGACAGTATTTCCCATCAAAACACTAGTAAAGATACAAACACTTGACAACATTTCTGGGAAAGTACTACAGGGAAGCACTTTTGGTGAGAATGCAAAACAGTGCAGCGCTTACAAAGCAGAACGTGGTAGCATCTTGCAGAACGCCACACCTTCCAGCCCAGCAAGTCCACTTTCATGACACTTTGTCATCCTTGACAAAAATAAAAAAACTCCCTGCAGGATTAATTGTAGCAGTAAACCACTGCAAGCAATTTCACCGTCCATTAACAGACAGCGGTAGAAGAGAGTGTAATAGAGGTTGAATTTCCTTTATCCACACTGCTTGGGACCAGAAACATTTCAGATCACGGAGCTTTTCAGACACTGATTTCCAGACTGGAGATACTCAATCCATACTTCCAATCGAGGATCAATCACACAGTAATAAAAAAGGAGGAGGAAGACTCCTCTATACTGCAAGGGCAAGGTGATGAAATCAAAATGCAGGAAATACGTATGCTATACGGCCACTTTCTATAAAAGGACACAAACTCATACACTTATGTTTGAATAGATATTTCTACTTGTTTTATTTTTTTATTTATTTTGAAAGGCAGAGAGAGACAGACAGAAAAGATCTCTCATTTACTAGTTCACTACCCAAATCCTTGCAACAGCTGGGGATAGGCCAGGCTGAGGTCGAGCGCTGGGAATTTAATGCAGGTCCCCCACTTGCTTCCAGGGAGCCCACTCTTTGAGCCATTGCCTGTTGCTTCCCAAGATGTGGATCAGCAAGAAGCCGGAGCCAGGCAGTTTGATATGGGATACAGTAGCCCAAGCAGCACCTTAAACTGTGCCCAGTGCCCCTCCCCGTATCTGTGCTCTCAAGGGCTCTGTTTCTCTGTCATATTATATATATGCACTTATATATACATCCTCTTGGATTAAAAAAACTGGAAGACAAACCATCAAATTAAAAAATTCACTGGTAGAAACAGGGATAAAGAGACAGAGATATAAAATTAACAGCTTTGAACATTTTTCTCTGTTTTGACTTAAAATCCACAAAACTATTATAGAATATTATAAAACAAAATTAAAATTCAAAAAGCAGCTCCTAGTGGAAACAATCCAAGTATCCATCAGATGAATGGATGCATTGTAGGACACACGCGGTGGAATATTACTCAGTCTTAAAAAGGAAGAGACGCTGGTGCACAGCGCAGATGAGCCTTGACAGAAGCCAGTCACAGACAGACATACGATTCTAAGGGGCATGGGGTAATTCAATCCACACGGACAGCAAGCAGAATGGGGAAAGCAGAAACAGGAGATGGCTTAATAGAGTTATACCTTTAGTTGTGCAAGATGAAAATATTCCAGTGATCTGATGAGCAAACAAGGTGAACACACTTAACACTACTGAACTGTGCCCTTTAAAATAGTCAAGATGGGAAATTTTGTTATGTGGTTTCATCGCAGCCAAAAATAAAAATTTTCAAAATTCCACAGAGACTCCTAAATATTGAACGTAAGATGCAGTGATTCTAACTATATATCTGGTTAGCAGCATAAGCACACAGAGAAAAACTATTTCAAGTAACTCTGAAAACCAACAGTTTAGGGGCCAGTGCTATGGTGTAGTAGGCTAAGCCTCTGCCTGCGGTGTCAGTATCCCATATGGGTGCCAATTCAAGCTCCAGTTTCTCCTCTGGAGATCCAGCTCTCTGCTCATGGCCTGGGAAAGCAGTAAGTGATGGTGCAAGTCTTGGGTCCCTTAACCCGCGTGGGAGATCCAGAAGAAGCCCCTGACTCCTGGCTTCAGATAGGTCCAGCTTCGGCTATTGTGGCCATTTAGGGAGTGAACCAGCAGATGGAAGACCTTTCTCTCTGTCTCTCCCTCTCTGTCTGTAACTCTACCTCTCAAATAAATAAAATTTTAAAAGAAAAAAAAAAAAAGAAACAATGGTCTAGCTATACATAGTCCAGTGGCAAAAGTAACATCCAAGCAAAATAAACAGTTAACTATTTTCAGTAACTGTTGGTGTTAATGTTGGTGTTGCTGTTTTGGGCAACATAGAATAAAGCACTGAAAATAGAATATAACATAATTACCATCACCTTTAGTGATTCTGAGAACTAGGAATGGTCACGTGAGGGGAAAAAGAAAGGCAGATAGAAGACCTTAAGTGGTTAAGTAAAACCCTGGAGTCCTGACATGAACCGAAGATATCTGTAGGAACTCATAGTTTGTCATTTAAAACAAACAAACAAAAATTCCACACACCTGTTTCCCAGGAATAAGCACCGCAAAGACCTAGAAACAGTGTACAGCTTGGTGGCAGCGAGCGCGCCTAGCATCCCCCTGCCCTGCCCAAAGAGAATCAGGGTTCTTTGAGCACATGGCTGATTCCAGGTCTCAGCAGAAAATGTACCAAATGAGACGTGGACCCTTCTGCCAAAAAGCAAAGAAGCTGTCAAAAAAAAATTAGTCTCATCAACCTGAAGAGTCTCACATTAGCCAGAACTGGGACAATTTGAACATGAAAAGGAATAAAAGTTTCAATGACTGAAAATAGCAGACAAGAACTGATGAAAACACATAGGGCTGGCACTCTGTTCTAAGTTCAGACACCGTCTGAGACGCCCACATCCCACTTTGAAGCACTGGGTTCAAGCCCCAGCTCTGCTTCTGATTCCAGTTTCCTGCTAATGTACACCCTAGGAGGTAGCAGGTGACGGTACAAGTACTTGGTTCCTGCTGTCCATGTGGGAGATCTACGTTGATTTCTTGGCTTCTGACTTTGGCCCAACTCCAGCTGATGAGGGCATCTGGGGAGTGAACCAGAAAACAGAAAGCTCTCCGGGTCTCTCTCTCTCTGTCTGAGAAAACAGGACCAGCACAGTGGAATAGCAGGTAAAGCTGCTGCCTGCGACACCAGCATCCCATATGGGCGCTAGTTAGAATCCCACCACTTCCGATCCAGCTCCCTGCTAATGTGCCTTGGAAAGCAATGGAAGATGGTCCAAGTCCTTGGGTTCCTGCACCCACGTGGGAGACCAGGAAGAAGCTCCTGGCTCTTGGCTTTGGCCTGACCCAGCCCTGGCCACTGCAGCCATTCGGGGAGCGAACCAGCAGATGGAAGAGCTCTCTCTCCTTCCCTCTCTCTCTGTAACTCTGCCTTTCAAATAAAGAAATAAATTCTAAAAAAAAAAAAAAAAAGAAAAGAAAAAAAAAAGAAAAAGAAAGAAAACAAGTAATTGGTCACTATCATGCTCATTTTGGAAAATCCATAAATAAGGGCAAAGAATCAAGCCTTGATCTCAGCTATGTAAACAAAATGAGAATGTTTCTTCTTAAAGATGGGCTTAATAAATAAAGCAGAGGAAACTAAAAGGACAACTCATAGAATGGGATAAAATATTTATTAATCATATATCTGATAGAGTTGTACCTAAAATACACAAAAAAAGTTTATAACTCAGCAATAGAAAAATCAAACTTTATCAATGAGATACAAAAAGCAAAGAGGAAGCCATTGGAACCTACTGCTACCAAATCACATTCTTTAAAGGGCCATGGTGAGTCCAACAGGAAAACACCCAGAAGCTCTTTTCACCACTAGACAAAGTCCTCCTATGACCATTTGTTTCTAGCAGAGGCAATTTTTAGAGCACTTTTAAGCTCATAGCAAAACTAAGTGCAAAGTATAGAAGCTCCCATATAGCCCTGCCCCAAGCATACAGTCTCCCTTTCAATATCCCACAACAGAAAGGCGTATTTGTTTCAATCAATGAACACTCACTGATATGTCATCCCATGTGCATACTTCACGCTTAGTGATGTACCTTCTATGAGTTCAAACACATATCCTCCAATATAGTACAGTATACAACAGTACCACCACCCTAAAAATCCTCTGTGCTCTGCTGTCCATCCCTACCTCCCCCAAATTCCCAGCAAACACTTCCCTGCACCTTTCTGAATATGAGCAAAACAGCCTGGAAAGGGGATTTCCATTCCTCATGGAAAGAAATCCCTATACAGTCTACAGTAATAATGCTGGTCTTTGAGAAGTTACATAAATGGCTCCTCTCCCTCTGTTATGTGCAAAATCACATTGTTTTTAACAATTCATCAATACACATTTCCTAAATTATTCTCTGAATTTTAAACTGGCAGTATAATAATTCATTTCTAACAACAATATCCATTTGTGCTATGCTTAGGCTAACATCTACATTTTTAAAATAAGTCCAAATCCAATAAGCTTTAAAGAAAACCCCATTTGTTTTCCACAGTTGTCAAAGAGCAACTCTAGACCTTGAACAAGTGGCTTTTATTTCCTGATTGTACACTTTCACCATACTGCTCACAAACTTCTGAAAAAACCAGAGGTTTGTCTCTGCTCTGCTAGTTTTGAATAACTGATGGTTCTCTTGAACGATTTAGAAGTTCATAGAGGAGCCAGTGCTGTGGCATAGCAGGTAAATCTGCCGCCTGCAGTGCCAGCATCCCATGTGGGTGCCAGTTTCAGTCCCGGCTGCTCTTCTTCTGATCCAGCTCTCTGTTGTGCCCTGGGAAAGTAGCAGAAGATGGCCCAAGTGTTTTGGACCCCTGCATCCACATGGGAGACCTGGAGGAAGCTCTTGGAACCTGGCTTCGGATCAACTCAGCTCTGGCCGTTGCGGCCATTTGGGGAGTGAACCATCAGATGGAAGTCCTCTCTCTCTCCCTGCCTCGCTTCTCTGTAACTCTGCCTTTCAAATAAATAAATAAATCTTTAAAAAAAATTTTTCATAGAAAAAATGATCCATCTCACTGAGCCTTTGGATCTTTGGGGGGGTTCCAGTCACTTACAACAGGAAACAGTAATTAATCCACTGTAACTGTCCCAAATTACACAGATAAAAGCTGAGCTATATTCAATTTTCAGAAACCTCAGTGTTGTCTGAAATGTCATTCCAAAATAGGCTGCAATGTTTCATTGACCTCACTGATGTTTACACGGTTAAGCTGTTATCCTCAAACCTAACAGAATGCTGTGATAAAAGATGAGCAAATTACCTTTGATTTTTCTTCATTTTCTCTGTAAAATTCTGCCATCTGCTCCTCCTGTTCTTCAATAACATCCTTCAGGGTGTCTACTTGGTAGATCAAATTGTTCTTCTCGTTGTCTAACTGTGCATTGGAAACCATGGCTTTCTTGTATTTTTCTTCCACTTCAGACAGAGACTCCTAAAGGATAGTCAAAGTAATCAGCCTGATATTTAAAATATGTTCATTGAATGTACACACTACAAAAGGGAATTATGACACGAGCACAAGCCTAGGAAGATGCACTTGTTTAAGACACAAGCAGTGTGGGGACTCTGTTTAGTAACGTGCACACAAAACAGGAAGACAGTGAGAAGCCAATGACAACTTTCTAAGATTTATTTGTGCTCTCTGCTCCCCAAGAAAACAAAATCAAGCAGCAGCAGTCTCTAAAAAGAAAAGATGTGGACACAACATCCATTCATGAGTCGTAAAGTGACCAACTGTCAACATTTTCAGAAACGTTACTCAAAGTTTTAACAAGACCGCAGTGACATAACACACTACAGTCTCTCTTCACACAAGTAAACATCACACTTACTTTAAATCTTGCCACTCAGTGAATTTTGCTATTACTTGACATTTATTTTCAGTCCTTCTTGTTGTGTATAATAATGAAAATGAAAGTGTCTATTTTTCCAGAAATTATTCAAATCTTAGTGATTTTTAAATTAGTAAACAATACAAACTGAATATTAAAAAAAGAGCTACCATCAAATGCCTGAAATTTTCAATAACAAAGTTTTCTGCTTGCGGCTATTTTAGCTTATTACTGCTATTACAGCTTACGTTTTAAATAACTATACCTAACTTCGTAAATATTATTCTTTTTACAAAGCTAAGAAGAAAAAGTGTTTCACATAAAAAAATCACTCTGGAAATAAATTTTCTAAAATACTAGTAAAAATGTTCAACAAGCCAAGATCAATGAAAAATAACTGCATCTATATCCCTTACAGTTAATTTTTGCCAGAGTGTCTACTTAGGGGAAAAGAATAAATGATGTTGTACCCACATACAAAAGAATGAAGTTGGGCTCCTACCTCATACCATACATAAATATAGATTCAAAATGGACCGTAGATCTAAATGTAAAATGTAGAATTATAAAACTCTTTGAAGAAAATATAGGAATCAATCTTCAAGACCTTTAAGTAGGCAATGGTTTCTTAGAACACACACACACACACACACACACAAGACAGATATTATCAAAATATAAAACTTCTTATACTGCAAACAGTACTATCAAGAAAGCAAAAAGATAGCCCATAGAATAGGGAAAAAAAATCTGCTGATCTTATATCTGACAAGAAACATTCCTAGAATATATAAAGAACTCTTAAACTGAACAATAAAAGAATATAATCCAATTTAAAAATGGACACAGATTTCTACAAAGAGGCTAACAGGCACATGAAAACATGCTCATCATCATTAGTCATAAGGGAAATGCACATCAAAACCACAATAAGAAGCCATTTCACATCTACTAGGATGGCTATGATTTATTTACTTTTATTTTCAGATGGCTGTAATTTATAGGATAAGTTTTAGTGACAATGTGGTGAAAGTAGGTACAATACTTGTGAGAATGTAAAATGATAGAACTACTTTGGAAAATGGTTTCTCAAATATTAAAGAGCTACCATATGACCCAGAAATTCTATTCCAAGGAATATACCCAAGAGAAATCAAAAAATATGTCTACACAAAAACTTTTACACAAAAATGTTCATAGCATTAGTAGCAAAAAAAAAAATCTGAAACAATCTAAATGTTCATAAACTAATAAACAAAACGATATGGTAGGCCGGCGCCGCGGCTCAATAGGCTAATCCTCTGCCTTGCGGCGCCGGCACACCAGGTTCTAGTCCCTGTCGGGGCGCCGGATTCTGTCCCAGTTGCCCCTCTTCCAGGCCAGCTCTCTGCTGTGGCCAGGGAGTGCAGTGGAGGATGGCCCAAGTGCTTGGGCCCTGCACCCCATGGGAGACCAGGAGAAGCACCTGGCTCCTGGCTTCAGATCGGTGCAGATGTTACAACGTGGATGAACCTTGAAAACATAATGCTAAATGAAAAGCTAGTTACAATAGGCCACATACTATATGATTCCATTTAAACAAAATCTTCAGAATGGACAAGTCTTTAGTGATAGAAAATTAGTAGTTACTCAGACTGGAGACAGGAGTGGGTAAAGAGGAAAGGGAATGACTGCTAATGGATACATGGTTTCTTTTGGGAGTGATGAAAACATCCTAAAATTGTGCTGTGGTGATGGTTCCAAACATCTTTGAATTTTATATATATATATATATATATATATATATATATATATAATAGAAAAGTTTATATTAAATATATATTAAATAGTAAATGTTTATGGTTTATGAATTCTATCAACAAAGATACACATATTTTTAATGATGTTTCACAAAGCATAACTGGGCTGATACATAAGATTTAAACTGGAACTGAGTGGTTTTTCCACTTATTACTTGCTGAGTTCTTTATTTAGTGGCGAGTAAGCTTGTGATTATAAAGTACACTGAAAGTATGTCATTGTAAAAATTAAAAGACAAGTAAGAAAAGAGGAGGAAGGGTGTGAGTGAGAGAGGGAGGGTAGGAAATATCATTATGCTCTTAAAACTGTAATATATGAAATACATGAAATTTGTTCCCTTTATATAAATTTTAAAAAGTGAAAAAAAAAGAATTAAGAAAATTTAAGCACAATAAAGAATATAAGCAAAGCAATCATATAGTAAATGTAGGAATGTCAATATAATGTAGAATGTAGAACGATTCTCATACATCAGACAGGTTAACAGCAGGAAAAAAAAGTCCTCATCACAACACACTCCCGTATAAAATGAGACACAACTGTATGAAAAGCAGAATCTGAGATGGCTCAAGTACTAGATTCAGACAAAAAAAAAATACCACAATACATCTGACACAAAACGTATGCAGCATAGTCTATCTTTAAGCTCAGACCACAAGGACGTCTAAATGTGAATGTCAAGGTAGTTCTCAAGGTCTGCTAGTCTCACACAGTGATACCCATTTGCAATTAGTTTTATTTAGATACTTCTAAGGTACTGATTTGCAAAGGGCGAGTCCCTGGCCAGCAACAACAGGATTACTTGGGAACTGGGTAGGAATGCACATTTTCAACTTGGTTCCCAGCCGGCTGAACCAGAAGAGCTCAGGTCATCCTGAGGAACACCAGTTCTGAAGCCACCGTCTTAGCGCTGGAGCTCTGACTGAGCTGAGTGTCCTGTGTAAGCGCATGCTCCATGAACCAGTTAACCTACAGCTAGCAGGACGCACACCACAGTCTCTAAGTCTCCTCCTGACAGTACTCTCTAGGGTTGCTCATGCTAGTTCTCTCCTTATCCTTCACCCTTCTTCAAAGAATTAAAGGCAATGTTTAAAAACATTGTCTGGAAGGCCTTAAATAAAACTAACCAACAAACGAACCAAGTGCTTACTTCAGATAACTTTGACAAAGATGCTTAAGGCAATGTGTTTAGGACATCTGAAAACCTAGTTGGGTTCATAGTCTACAAGGCAATATGGGATAAATCAGTATTTCCAAACCTATGAAAAGATGGAGATAGTGAACATAAAACATGCTGATACATGCTAAGTACTCAATAAATAGCACTGAATATTTGTCGGATGCTAGTAAAGGCAATATATATTCAGAGTTTAGCAGAATGAAGGATGACCAATTTCACATAGGATCATCCACAAAGTGGAGCCTGACGTGTTTCTTACAAAATAAAATCAACCATTGCTGAGTCTGTTTTGGCTAAATCAAGATTATGGAAGGGTACAAGTACTCACTAAAGTGAGTTGGCGCCTTTATTAATCAGGGGTCAGAGACTCCGGTATTAGCAGCATGAGGGAAGTATGTTGAGAAGTATGAATCTGACTTCTCAAATTCTCAAAAGCAATTTCTGGATTCTAAATTTTTAGCAATGTAGAGGGGCAGGCATTAGGCCTAGTGACTAAAATGCCACCTGGGGCAACATCCGTATCAGAATGCCTGAGTTTCAGGGCTGACTCTCTTCCTAACACAGCTTCCTGCTAATGCACACCTAGGAGGCAGCAGGCAATGGCTCAAGGCTGATCACCTGTCACCTACACAAGCGACCCACACTGAATCCACGGCTCTTGGCTTTGGGGCCTGGTCCAATGTCAGCTGTTGTGGACACTTGGAAATAAACATTTTTTAAAAAGAAATACATACAGTAAACCTCTGGCCTCTTGAGAATTTCAAATTTATGGTGTTGATTATTTTGCTTGAACAAAGATCTTGATATATAATAATCAGTAATTTTGGGAAGGTATGTAAGTCAAATAATCAGTGCTCTTATAAAGCTGTATAAGAGTCAGACCTTAGTTAACTGGAAAGCCTAATCAACTGTCCAGCAGCCCAATACATCTTTGAAGCTCATTGTAAACACATGGCCACTTCAGTTACACACGCATGGGACTTTCATCAGGTTAGACTTTTTACTTCACTGGTCAAGGTATGTTCTTGACTAATGCTACAGCAATAACACCTCACAGTACTGGCAAGCCTTGACTAAGGGCTTTTATGCGCCTTACACACCACTGCAATTCAGTCTTGCAGTAACTCCACCAGCTAGGCACTATTCACCGTCATTTCCGTTTTTACAGATGCCGACAGGAGATAAGTAATGTAAGGCTGGTCAACAGGCAGTGAGCCCACATTTTGAAAGAATATTTTAAATAATGCTGAAATGTTATCTACCAAATGAAACAAGAGCTGCCTTTAAAGTCCCCAAGTAAAACATGATTCAGATTTTCATGGGGAGAAAATAAAACATACGAATAAAGCAAGAGTCTTCCCAGAGCACACCCCCCACAGAGGCGGCAGTCCGTTGGCTGGGTGGATTATCTTTCAGGATGGTTCCTATTCATTTACATACAAAGAAAACCTTGGCTCTGCTTACATTTTTAACACAAATTATATACCCGATTTTGTTCTACAACTGGCTTTTCTCGTTCTGTAACTTGTCTTTTAATGTTTCCAGTCACTAGATTTAGATTTACTATGTTCTTTTTACTTACTACTGTAATTCTATATTAAAGTTTAATAAGGTATTAATTTTAATATTTCTGGGGGCCAGCACTGTGGTGTAGCAGGTAAAGCCGCCACCTGCAGTGCCAGCATCCCATATAGGCACTGGTTCGAGTCCTGGCTGCTCTACTTCTGATCCAGCTCTCTGCTATGGCCTGGGAAAGCAGTAGAGGATGGCCCAAGTGCTTGAGCCCCTGCACCCATGTGGAAGACCTGGAAGAAGCTCCTGGCTCCCGGATTCGGATCAGCACAGCTTCGGCTATTACGGTCAATTGGGGAGTGAACCAGCGGATGGAAGACCTCTCTCTCTCTCTCCTTCTCTCTCTGTGTAACTCTGACTTTCAAGTAAATAAATAAATCTTAAAAAAATTTACTGTTTCTAAAACTGGGTTTAGTTCTTTATAGAACTGCTAAGAAACATTTACAGTTTGTGAGTTTTAAAATAATATTCTACTATATATTCTAGATAACAGTATACGTTATACTGTAGTGTGGTATGTGGTAAACACTGCTATATTAATAAATGACAAACTTGGGGCTTGCCCTGTGGTGTAGCAGGTAAAGCCACCACCTGAAGTGCCGGCATCCCGTATGGGTGCCTGTTTGAGTCCCAGCTGCTCCACTTCCAATCCAGCTCTCTGCCATGGCCTGGGAAAGCAGTGGAAGATGGCCCAAGTCGTTGGGTCCCTGAACATGCATGGCAGACCCAGAAGACGTTCCTGGCTCCTGGCTTCAGACAGGCCCAGCTCCGGCCATTGCAGCCATCTGGGAAGTAAGGAGAGAATGGGAGGATGCATCCCAAAGGCAAACATAATAATAATAAGGAATAATGTCCAAAGCAATGAAGCAACATCCTTTTTGAATATTTGATTCATCAATCAGATTAAATTTTTTTTTTTTTGACAGGCAGAGTGGACAGTGTGAGAGAGAGACAGAGAGAGAAAGGTCTTCCTTTTGCCGTTGGTTCACCCTCCAATGGCCACCGCAGCCGGCGCACCGCGCTGATCCGATGGCAGGAGCCAGGAGCCAGGTGCTTCTCCTGGTCTCCCATGGGGTGCAGGGCCCAAGCACCTGGGCCATCCTCCACTGCACTCCCTGGCCATAGCAGAGAGCTGGCCTGGAAGAGGGGCAACTGGGACAGAATCCGGCGCCCCAACCGGGACTAGAACCCGGTGTGCCGGCGCCGCAAGGTGGAGGATTAGCCTAGTGAGCCGCGGCGCCGGCCCCAGATTAATTTTTTGTCTTTTTGTAATGGACCTGGGAAAACAGCCAGAGACAGCCTAAGCACTTGAGCCCCTTGGCATTAGCTCTTGACTGCACCAGCCCCAACTGCTGCAGCCATTTGAAGAGTATACCAGCAGATGGAGGGAGGGAGGAGGAGGGAGGGAGGGGA